TCTTTGCGACCCTATGGACTGTAGCCAGCCAGGCTCCTTTGTCCTTGGGATTTGCCAGACAGAAATACTGGAGTGGGTTGCTATTCCCTTCTCTAGAGAATCTTCCCGACCCAGGGATCGAACCCATGTCTCTTAATGTCTCCTGCATTGACAAGTGGATTCTTTACCACTAACAACTCATGGGAAGCCATAGCTTTCACTCTATGGACCTTTGTCGGCAGAGTGATGTCTCTGCTTTTTAATATGCTGTCTAGGTTGGTCATAGCTTTTCTTCCAAAGAGCAAGTCTTAATTTCATGGCTGCAGTCACCATCTGCAGCCCAAGAAAATAGTCTCACTGTTTCCATTTTTTCCCCATCTGCTTGCCATGAGTGATGGGACAGGATGCCATAATCTTTGTTTTTGAATTATGAGTTTTAAGCCAGATTTTTCACTCTCCTGTTTCACCTTTCATCAAGAGACTCTTTAGTTTTCTTCACTTTCTGCCATAATGGTGGTGGTGTCTACATATCAGGTTATTGATATTTTTCCTGGCAGTCTTGATTCCAGCTTGTGCTTCATTCAGCCTGGCATTTCTCATGATGTACTCTGCATATAAGTTAAATAAGCAGAGTGACAGCATATAGCCTTGATGTACTCCTTTCCCAATTTTGAACCAGTCCATTGTTGCATGTCCAGTTCTAATTATTGCTTCTTGACTTGCATACAGGCTTCACAGGAGGCAGGTAAGGTGGTCTGATATTTCTGTCTCTTTAAGAATTTCCCACAGTTTGTTGTGATCCATACAGTCAAAGGCTTTAGTGTAGTTAATGAAGAAGAAGTCAGTGTTTTTCTGGAATTCCTTTGCTTTTTCCATGATCCAGTGGATGTTGGCAATTTGATCTCTGGTTCCTCTGTCTTTTCTAAATCCAGGTTGTACATCTGGAAGTTTTCAGTTCACATAATGTTGAAACCTAGCTTGAAGGATTTTAAACTTTATCTTGTTAGCATCTAACTTGAACGCAATCGTGCAGGAGTTTGGACATTCTTTGGCATGGCCTTTCTTTGAAAACTGACCTTTTCCAGTCCTGTGGCCACTACTGAGTTTTCAAATTTGCTGACATATTTAGTGCAGCACTTTAACAGCATCATATTTTAGGATTTGAAATAGTTCAGCTGGAATTCTGCCACCTCCATTAGCTTTGTTCTTAGCAATGCTTTCTAAGGTGCACTTGACTTCAACACTCCAGAATGTCTGGCTCTAGGTGAGTGACCATACCACATGGTTATCCATATAACCATGGATATGGTTCTTTTGTGTATTTTTGTATAGTTGTTTTGTGTATTCTTGCCCACCTTTTCTTAATCTCTTCGCTTCTGTTAGGTTCTTCTGTTAGGTTCTTCTGTTTCTGTCCTTTATTGTGTTCATCTTTGCATGAAACGTTCCCTTGGTATCTCCCAAGTTTCTTGAAAAGATCTCTGTCTTCCCCATTCTGTTGTTTTCCTCTATTTCTTTGCATTGTTTACTTAAGAAGGCTTTCTTATCTCCCCTTGCCATTCTCTGGAACTCTACATTCAGTTGGGTATACCTTTCCCTTTCTCCTTTGCTTTTCTCTTTTATTCATTTTTCAACCATTTGTAAGGCTTCCTCAGACAACCACTTTGCCTTCTTGCATTTCTCTTCCTTTGGGATGGTTTTGATCACCACCTCCTGTACAGTATTAGGAACCTGCATCCATAGTTCTTCAGACACTCTGTCTACCAGATCTCATCCCTTGAATCTATTCATCACCTCCACTGTATTTTCATAAGGGATATGTTTAGGTCATACCTGAATGGCCTTGTGGTTTTCCCTACTTTCTTCACTTTAAGCCTGAATTTTGCAATAAGGAGTTCATGATCCGAGCCACAGTTAGCTCCTGGTCTTGGTTTTTGCTGACTGTGTGGAGTTTCTCCACCTTCAGCTGCAAAGAATATAATCAATCTGGTTTCAGTATTGACCATCTGGTGATGTCCACGTGTAGTGTAGTCGCTTGTGTTGTTGGAAGAGGATGTTTGCAATGACCAGTGTGTCCTCTTGGCAAAACTCTGTTAGCCTTTGCCTTGCTTCATATTGTACTCCAAGGCCAAACTTGCCTGTTTCTCCAGGTATCTCTTGACTTCCTACTTTTGCACTCCAATCCCCTATAATGAAAAGGACCTCTTTTTTTGGTGTTAGTTCTGGACGGTCTTGTAGGTCTTCATAGAACCATTCAACTTCATCTTCTTTAGCATTAGTGGTTGGGGCATGGACTTGGATTACTGTGATATTGAATGGTTTGCCTTGGAAACAAACAGAGATCATTCTGTCATTTTTGAGATTGCACCGAAGTACTGCATTTGAGACTGTTTTGTTGACCATGAGGGCTGCCCCATTTCTTCTAAGGGATTCTTGCCCATAGTAGTAGACATAATGGTCATCTGAATTAAATTCACCCATTCTGGTCCATTTTAGTTCACTGATTTGTAAAATGTTGATGTTCACGCTTGCCATCTCCTGCTTGACCACATCCAATTTACCTTGATTCATGGACCCAACATTCCAGGTTCCTATGCAATATGATTCTTTACAGCATCAGACTTTCATCAGACTTTATAGCATCAGACTTTACTTTCACCACCAGACACATGTATAACTGAGCATTCTTTCCACTTTGGCCCAGCCTCTTCATTCTTTCTGAAGTTATTTCTCCACTCTTCCCCAGTAGCATATTGGACACCTACCAGCCTGGGGGACTCATCTGGTATCATATCTTTTTTGCCTTTTCATACTGTTCATGGAATTCTTAAGGCAAGAATCCTGGAGTGGTTTGCCATTCCCTTCTCCAGTGGACCATGTTTTGTCAGAACTCTCCACCAATGTGCATCTATTAAAAAATGAAAAGTTAAATCTGTATGTAGTGGCCTGGAATGATGGCCATTCAATATTATGTGTTTAAAAGTTGTAGAGTTATTTAATAATAGAGTGTAGTATGTAGCATGATTCTAAAATACAAACCAGAACTATATATATGTTTGAGAATAGAGAAAGGTGTAGATGGATTCGTATCAGACTGGTAAAACTGATTGTTAGGGTGGTAAGTTTAGTGATGGACTTAAATTAACTTTTTGTACAACCATGTTGTTTGATATGTTGTAATATTGTTTTTGTAATTTTTTTTTGAAATTTCTGAAGTAAAAAGGCCAGGAGGGAAGGGGGAGTTGTCTTTAATGATAGAAATTATAATAGGGATCACAGTGTGAGTTGCTGACCGAGAATGGTACAAGAGAAACCTTGGTGCTAGTAGTGATCTTTATCTTGATGCAGATGTTGGTTACTGTGAATACAGGTGTATTCACTTTATAAATAGCCATCTAGTTTGTATGCTTATGATTTGTACAGGATATTGTACATATCAATTAAACAATCAATTTATCAAATAAATTTCTTAAAATTATGGCACAGAAATATAATGGAATATTTTGTTTTTAAAAATAACTTTAAATAGTTAATGACACATGGAATTGGCCCAGAAACAACAAGTCTCATCATTATAAAATACATAAACACACAAAATGAAGACTCCAATAAACACATGACAATATTATTAATAGATATTATGTCCAGGTACCACTTTTTTTGTTTGGAGGTTGGGGGCTGGGTCATTGAAGTTGGTAGAATTTGGTAAAGAAAACCAGAGTACAGGATATTAAGCAGAAAATAAGAGTGAAGGAGAGAGGGAACGATTTTTTTACAAATATAAGAAAGAAAAACAATACTAACTAGAGAGATACTGTAAGGTCCGGTAATTTTTTTTTAACCCCAGCTAGGAAGAGACTCCTACTAGGAAGGGACTAATTTCAGATTTCAAGTATAATAGTAGATAGTTATGAAAAAGCCTCTCCTTCAGCACGTTCATGCTGAATTACAAATAATTCATGCTGGATACTTAAGTTTTGTTTCTGTTTAAGCACTTAAAGAAACTGTCATTGATAGGATAGTTTCCATTGATTGTAGTAGATGCAGCTCATAATAGTTTAAGAAACCTGTACTCTTCTCCCAGTTTTAACTAATTAACTATTGTAATTCCCTCTGATCTTTTTGCTCTACAGTTACCACTCGGGGGGCAAATAATATCTCCTCCAGCCAGAGTGATAATAAAATAAGAAAATGTATGTGAAAACACATTAATAAAATTAAACACTACCCAGTTGTAAAGTTACATTCTTTTTCTTGTTTTTTCTTCAGCCCAAAGTCATTAGTTGTGAATGTGATTACTTCAGGTGGAGTTTAACTTAGTTCAAAAGTTGAAGTTTATGAAAGAATGCCTTTTTTTCAGTCGTTTTGCAAATATAAATGCAACATGTAGTGTTTATTCAAGTGTGAGTTGTGATGCAATCCATCTTTAATATTTTAGACTAAATATTAGTATTTAGTACTTTATATGTGAAATTTAAATATAAACATTTGTTATTTCTTCTAAGTATTGTTGAGCTGTCAGGGGAATTATCAGGCCTTTTTCCCTATTAACAGTCATTCTTAATTATTAACCATGTTAATTTAAAATGATTAAAATCCCAAATCAGATCTTCAGGTGTCTCGCAGGGGTTTTGCTTTTTTTAGATTAGCCCTTAAATCAGTAATAATCTGGGTGGAACTAGAGTTGGGTTGGTTGGAGAAAACTGCGTGGCACTAGGACCCAGGGGGCTCCCGTGAGCGGATCTAGGGGCCAGATTGCAAATTCGCGGTGACTCAGTCTGGTCGGCTCCTTGCGCTCAGCGGCCGCGGCGGCAGCAGCAGACGTTGGCGGCCGAGCTGCTAGGATCAGTTCCCCGGGTTTCACCGTCCGAGACTTCCTTCGGGGCGCCCCAGGCAGGTAGTCCGGGGAGCTCAAGGGTCGTTGTGGCGGGGAGGAGGGGGGTGCTCGGCGCGGGAAGCCCTCGGGCCTGTGCACGGGGAGTAACATTTGCTCCGTCTCTTCCTGTGTCTGGCTTTATTTGCAGCAAACCAAGATGGAGTATGAGTGGAAACCTGACGAGCAAGGGCTTCAGCAAATCCTGCAGCTGCTGAAGGAGTCCCAGTCCCCCGACACCACCATCCAGAGAACCGTGCAACAAGTATCCTTTGCGAGGCCTCGCCGCCGCCCGCGCCGCTCTGCCCGCGCCGGGCCCGCTCTTGGCGGCCGGGAGACTCCCGCCGCCCCTCCCCCTCCCCGCTCCCGGATCCCTCCGCCCTCCGTGCGCCCGCCCGCGAGCAAGGCCCGCCCGCCGCCGCCGCCGCCCCTGCCCGGCGCCTCGCGCACGCGGCCCTCGTGCCCCGAGTCCGGGCCGCCGTCTGGCCCGGCGGCTTCCGGCCACGAGAGGCCGGGGGCGTCCGGCTACGGCCCGCGATCGCGACATGTGCGCCGGTCGGGCGCCACGTCCTAGCTCGCGGCGGGCCGCTCGAGAGGGCGGAGCGGCTGGGTGCCGGCGCGGACCCCCGGCGAGCAGACCCACACAATGCGCCGGGCGCGGAGAGGGCGGCGGGCGAAACGGGGGGCCGGGCGGGCGCGCTGCGTGCGCGGCCGCGCTCGCCGGCCTGAGTGGGGTGGAGCCGGCGCGGGGTTTGAACTCCCTGGGTGTGGGGCCTGGGGTTTCTTCCAGGCCCTGGTCCTGAAGAGCCGGAGACCTAGGAATGAGGGCTCCCAGGACTCACCTCGGGGCTGCTCAGGCTAACACCTGTTGCGAGCTCCCTGCCTCCCATGTGAGAAATCTTTGGCTCGAGACGGTCTGCTCAGTTACCCAAGTGTTGACCGAGTTTGCTGGTGTAGCGGTCCTGTTGCTATGGCTTTACAGGCAGAAAGGCTTAACCGAAGAACCAGAGCCTCTGCTGTGATGTGCTCTCTGCAGTGCCCTAAACTGCGGTCAAATGGAGAGCTCTTCCTGCGTCTAGTAAAGAAAACAAATTGACTCGATCATAAAGTAACTTTTATTTTAAGATGAAGTTAATTGTTTAAAAACTTCAGCCTGTGTGCAAAAAATGCCTCTTAATTTTTATTATTAATAAACGGGAGATTGGTTAGTATGAATTTGATAAGCTCTTTTGGTGTAGTTTGGACTTAAATTTAAAATACTATAAACTTGGGGTTAAATCGAATTACTTGAGAAGCTCTGGTAAATAAAATTTCTCAAAGTACTGCATTGCTGTAACTTAAAACCTCGAATAGGCGAGTAAGTATCTAGCCTTTTGGTTAATTAATACTGCTTACTTTAAAACGGAGATGTTAATGATTTAGGTCTGCTTGGTTTGGTGGGTGTTTTTTTTTTCCTTAAGCCATTTTGCTAGATACTGCTAGTACTGAGGGAATAGTTGGTTTGGGGTGATTAGAGCTTGTATTTGAAACATTGCTGTTACTCAGTTTTAATTTGTGTTTGTCATAGCTTTAGAAATGATAGAAGTTGATTTTTGATGAATTATAGGTGTGTGTGTGATAGCCAAGTCCCAAACCACATTGTAATTTATTCTGTAGCATTGTATATCATAATTTCTTGTTTTAGTGCGTTATTTATTTAGTACTCTTTGTATGTTCAGTACTGTGCGTGGGCTAAGAATCGAATTTACAGTTCATTCTGTATGCCTGGAGCATAGTATGCTGCCTGAATAAGGAACAATTTAAATTTCAGTAGATAAAGGTTAATAGTATTTTAAAAATACACACTGTTCTATATTTTCAAAGTGCCTAATGATGACCTTGTTCTTTGTTTCCTTAGGAAAGAATGTAATTATTGTTTTTGCATAGACATGAGCACTTTAGAAAGACCGTTATAATATTATGGATAGATAGCTCAAGTTCTAAGGAAGTAAACCTTATTAGGAAGTATTTATGAAAAATTATTAGCATATCAGCATACTGTTAATCTTGGCTGTTCACTGGAAAAAGAAATCACTAGGGTTTTTTGGTCAAAGAAAGTACACCTTTTAGAGAAATGTATTTTGATAGTTTATGTTCTGGCCCCTGAACACTGAGAATATTCTAGTGTATGATAAATAGCTGATATGGTGTGCCTGGACTTTGTATAGTGGATTTAATTTAAAGATTTAGGTCTACTGAGAAAATTCGAATAAAACCCAATTAGAGGTGTTATTAAAAAGTGTATTAGAGTTTAAAAGGGCATGAAGAAAGACATAGTAGAGCATTATGTCATTGTTGCCTGCCAGCAGGATGAAAACCTGCACATGTGTGTAATGGTAGGTCTTGGAGGGGCCGGGGGGAGTAGGGGGAGGGGATAATTGTAGAACTATTGCAGTGCAGTAATTTCATAATAGTGACTTTGTATAATAAGATTTGATATGTAGACTTGTACATAAATAGCATTTTATCTGAATTTCTTGAATTCTGAAGAAAAAATAGTCTAATAACAGTGTTTAAGGTAAAAGGCGATTTTTATAAAGTTAATTTCCCTAAGTGATCTCTGAAAGACTTGTTTTTGTTCATTTGGAATGCTTGTCATTTTTGTCATTATTTTATACTTTAATACCTTTCTGATTAGGGTGGTTTTTTTTGTTTAAGTTCAAATAAGTCAAACAAATTGTTGTGAAATTTTTTTTCATACAATGTACACCTGTACTGAAGGTGGAAGTTGACTTATTTGTATTGAAAATAATTGATGTAAAATAGTTTAATATTTTAGCTATATAAGAGGTTTAACACAGCCATTGGTGTGTTCTTGGAATAGTATATGATGGTTTTGATAAGATAACTTTATTCTTACTGAAAAAAAAAAATGCAGGCCTAAAAATCACAAAAGAGATTCTTGATTTTAGATGAAAAATACTGAATTCCTTCCTTAGAAGTTTCCTTAACTACTGTTTGTTCTAGAAACTGGAACAACTCAATCAATATCCAGACTTTAACAACTACCTGATTTTTGTTCTTACAAAATTAAAATCTGAAGGTAAGTAGGGTTTGTGTTGAAAGCTACTTAAAAGGTTTTTACACTTTTTTTAAATAAGTCTTTGACCGGTACTAAAATATACGAAGTATTACTCATTTCAAAGGATTTCATTTTGTGGGAATCACTTGCTTTTAAAGATGTGGAATGAAAGTGTTACTACTATTCAAAACATTTGGATGCTTGATGAGCAGTCAGTTGTTAGTTGGGTGTTTCTGTAATAAATTCACTCATTCTTTGCAAATGAAAATGTGTTTTGCTTCAATCCTTGTACATGAATGTCAGAGAGAGATTGATTTCTTTTATACACAGATTGAATGTAGGATTTACTAAAAATTTACTATATATGTGGTCATATTTGTATGATTGAAAGTTGATTTAACCAAAACGAAGTCATTTATAATCCAATCACCAGATAATTGTTAATGCCTTAATTCTGTACTTCAGTTATATGGCCATGTACTATTTTAATTGTTAACAAAAAGTAGAATCATTCTATTCATAGACTCATGTAACTTTTTAAAACCTTCTAACAGTATACATGAAACCTTTTCATTAACTATTCTGCAACCATTTTAAATTACTTCTATAACAAAGCTTGAAAACTAATTTGATTTTTAAATGACATGGTCATTTGATTGTTTCCTATACATGTAATGTGTCTCTCTCGACTTTATTTATTACACAAATATTTATGGAGCAGCACTCCTTGCCAGGCAGTTTGCTGGCTCAAGGGCAATAAAAGTGAACAGAATAATAAGAATCTCTGTCCTCATGGAGCTTACATTGTAGTGAGAGGTGTTCTTAGAGTTGAGTATTCCCTTCCTGGAATGTTGTCAGACACTCAGAATGCACTCAGGTATTTTTTGAGCAACTGATTGGCCTCTAAATGAAAGCACTATACTTAGCCTTTCAGAAGTCATGGTGCTTCATTAGTGCTTCTGTAGTTACTAAAAGCACTACACTTGGAGTTGGGAAATGTCTTAAACTCTGACACTCATTTCATCTCTTTTTTTCATCTACAAAATGCTTGTGTTAGACTACCAGACCATATGTAAGGTTTCAACTCTAAGCACTAGCGAGCAGGTTAATGACCTTAAAATCTTGCTAATCTTGTATTTATTTAGATTTTAATATTTCATGCCAGTGTATAGTGATTTATTTTGAATTATTTTAAAATTTTCTAGTTAATTTTAGGAATTTTGTGATTGAAGCATGTAAGAGAAACTTTAGAAATTTCACAATTTAAATTGCAAAAAACTTAAAAGTCCTTTGGCATATCTTTCAATTCAGCAGTTAATGTTCTTAGTTTGATAAATACACATTAACGTGATGTGTTATTTCTTAATATAGAAATTTCACTTTTCCCACATAGTAGTTGTAATCAGATAATGCTCTTAAGAACTGTATATTTAATAAATGAATTTTTCTAAGCATACTGTTTTACTTGAAAATTTTATTTTCACCAAGCCATCTATTCTCTGTCCTTAAATTCCAAATGTTAAGATTGTTATAATGTTATACTCTTTCTTAAAACTTTCTTGGGATATGAGGATACATCAGAAGTATTTTTAAAAGCAAACAAATAGCAAACTTACAATTCAGATAGCAGCAAGAGAGGTTGGTGTGTAACTGTCTCCCAGAAGACCTATGAATTATAAAACCATGAAAAGTTAGAAAAGGTTTTATGTAATATTTGCTATTTCTTCCTGTGTTTATTCATTTATTTGGGACACAAGGTTGCTATATCTAGTTTTCTGTTTTAAAAAATTAGCATTATGACCAACCATATTAAAGAAAGAGCACAAGTAAAGTCTAAATCAACATGCTTATTTATTTAGGAACTTTTTTGCCATTCCTGCAGTAAAATTTTAGATATGGAGAGACCTCAGAGGTCAGCTCCTCTCCTTCCCTCACTCTGCAAATGAGAATTGAGACCTAGTAAGGGAGTCTTTAAGAAAAGAGGACATAGTTAATTTTAACTCCTTTCACCTTGTGATTTTTTAAAAACTCTCCATCTTGTAATCATAGTTGTAAAAATGGTATAGTGTGTTTGTTGTAAGCAAATACACATGCCATTTAAAATAAAATTATACAACTGAATTATTGATGGCTAACAAGACCAAAACATGTATTGCTCGAGGAAGTTAAATATCTGGCTATTGTTTTATTTTATGGTAGTTTTAAACTTTGAAGAGAATTTAGAATTGCTTTTTTTCTAAGTTACTGATTGAATGGTGGTAATTGAAACCAGGAAGAAATTTTTAGAGGGTGACATAAAAGACTCATAGGCTATGTTGCGGTGGTGGCGCTAATGGTTTATTTGCAAAGAAACACAGTCTTTTTGTCCCCCCGTGCTGTACCCTTGGAGAGTTCAATACCAGTCAGACTTTGGGAACATACTGAACTAACTAGAACAAGTTGGGTTATTTTATTTTTTAATAAAGTACGTAAAACAATAGTGCTGAAGTAGCACACTGTGTTCAGTATACCAGCTCTACACACCTTCCAGCCCTTTAAGGAGGGTGATACTATATACCACCCTCAAGTATAGACTCTGGAGACAAACTCCTCAGGTTGATACTTTGGCTTCCGCAACTCGTAGTCAATTCTGTGTGAGTTAGGCAAAGGCCTCAGTTTCCTTGTTTGTGCAGTGGAGATAAATTAATTCTTACGAGGTTGTGAGGGTTAAATGTAAACTACTTGGAAAGCACTTAGCAGTGTTTGGTATGTAATGAGCATTGAGAAAATGTTGACTGTTGCTAATATTGTTGGTGATAATACAGATTCTTAAAGCATCAGTTATATTCTACTAATATTAAATTGGTTCTTCAGAATTTGTTAATATCTACGGATTAAACTTCTTTTACGTAGATTCTTTTTTATTTAATCTTCTGGAAATTTAAAAATTGTTTTACCCTCTCCCCCCTTTTCTTTTTAGCTCAGAGGCAAGTGAAAAACATGATATAAATGAACGGCAATTATTTGTTTGTGAAGGTGATCCCATATGTTCTTTGTCCACTTAATTTTTAATAGGCTATCTTTAGTAACTAATACTTTCATATCTAATTTGATGTTTGTATCAGGTTCCAATAAAGCTTGAGTACATTGGCCATATATAAACTTAAATTAAATCAGTGGTTCTCAACCAGGTGCAGTTTTGTCGTGTTCCCCCCACCCATCCCCTCCTCACTGCCCAAGGAGACTTGACATTATCTGGAAACATTTTTGTTGTCACAATTTGGAAAGGTGATACTGGCACCTGTGGTCAGTGATACTGCTAAACATCTTGGAATGCACAGGACGGCACTCCTAAAGAAAGAGTTACCTGGCCCAGAATGTCAATAATGCCAAGGTTGAGAAACCCTGAACTGTAAATCATGAAGCTAATCCTTTGTAATCATTTACAGTATATTTCCCCCCTGGTTATAGCAGATTAATGAAATATTACAATCAATTTTTTAATATATTTTAGAAGTTACATTCTTGATATATTTTGAAATGAAAACTACTTTAAAACTCAGTAGTAGTGTTATTTTATTACAGATGAACCCACAAGATCATTGAGTGGTCTCATTTTGAAGAATAATGTGAAAGCACACTTTCAGAACTTCCCAAATGGTGTAACAGACTTTATTAAGAGTGAATGTTTAAACAATATTGGTGACTCCTCTCCTCTGATTAGAGCTACTGTAGGTAAGTAATCTGTTAAAATTTTGCTTATCTTGTTTGTGACTGGGTTGGTTTCTGACATGACTGATCATTTCCATAGGAATTTTTGTCATCCAGTTCATGTTGAATTATGATGGGGAAAATTTTTCATTGCTTCTTTTGATATAATGTTAATGATTACAGTAAAAGTTCCCTTAATCCTGTGAGACCAGGTTCACTAGTAGTTGCTTTATCAAAGTTGGTTAAAATGGGGTGTTAAAAAGTGATACTAGTGTAGGACTGTTTCCCCCCTGTTTTTAATATTTGCCTTGTATGCACCTAATTAATGTCAATTTTTTAGTCTTTTTAGAGTATTTCAACTTGCTTTTAGTGGAAGAACAAATTTCTATCATTTTATGAAATATTTTATGAAATACTATATTAAAATGTTTAATTACAATAACTGAAATAAGTAGTTCTGGGAACCAACATAACTGACTGTTGCTAAGCACACACATCCTCTGGTAGAAGCAGAAATAAACATGTACTATAGAATAGTCCACCAGTGGGTAGATTTCATATGCCATGGGGTTTCAGCAGCTATATTTCACAGGGACCTAGAAAGCTTCTGTTAATCAGGTTGGTTAAATAGGAGTCAGTTAAGAACTTCCATAATGAATCAGTCATTTTCATTAAAAGTTCTCTGCTTTTGTATATTTTGTCTCCTGGTGGGTTTGAAAAGTACATGGTTTATCTCTTACTTACCAAACAGAAGCTCTTTGTAACTTCCCTCCAAATATTAAACATTGCCATTATTAACACTCATTTTAAATAGGATATGTAGAGGGCATTTATAATGTGAGAAAAGGGTCTTACTCCCTAGGTTGTTCTTATGGACCCTCATGTATGCCTGATTTTCTACCAGACTCTTGACACTGGTTTTAAAAAAAAAAGATGGTGAGTGTATACCAGTCTTTAAATTTTTTTTTAATCTTAACAATGCGTTTTGGAAATCTTGCCAAGGAAATGTATTCGGAAGGACTGTGGTAACCCATTAGATAGATGTAGAATTTCTGTTGTTAAAGAATGTATAGTTGGTTTGTAATGGGTACTGCTGAGTACTCAGTTTCCACGCCCATCTTTGCTAAATCCACTGAGAATTACAGTTTTTCACTTTTTGTAACTACGGTAGCATTAGAATTTTTTTTGTGAGTGGATGCAATTATATGGGGCCAGATTAATTTGAATTTGTCAGTCTGCAAATATTCTTTAATATTGTCTTAGAAGTCGTGAGTGTCAGCAGACTGTTAGTACCAAATTTTATCTTGTGTTTAATTTTTATTATTGCTTGTTTTAAAACATGACTTGGTTTCCTTTAGGCAGATCCAGAACTTTCTTGTTCCCACAAGTGTTATATTTTGACTTTGGGAAAGAATATATGGCAAGAAAGAACAGATTTACTATTAGTCTTGCTGCTTTTTGTTATTACCAGAAAGTAACTTGATCTTTAAAATGATCCTTACCATATAGTTTAATTTTTTCAGTGGGGAGTAAATCCTGGCCAACTTTTCTCTTTACATTTTTTAGCTCTTTACCTTTGGGAGCAATCTTCTCAAAACCAGCAATGGAAAACTCAGAGAATTTATGCACACAAACAGTAGAATCTGTTGTTCAGTAATAATTATTATTATATGCTCTGCATTTTGTGTACATATCTCACTGAATTCGCAAAATAACTATGAAGAGAGAACTTTTTCTCTTTTAAAAATTTTCTTTTACAGAGTAATAATTTGAAGTACATATAATTTGCCTACTGTCGGTTTATACTCTTTAATTACGGTGCTGAAAGATCTGTAATCACTAAGCATATTACATTATGTTAACCAATATTAAATTTTCTAAGGCAGAGAAAAACACTGACACAAAACTTTTTTGTTACATATTTCTGTATTTGCATGATCCTTAACTCACACAGCTAAATCACACAGCACAGTTGAAATAATCCAGTCAGTCAGAGTGACATGATCAGTCAGCAAGCCTGTGTCACTCCACAATCCATGATCACCTTGCCAGTGATTCATCCTTGATCCCCATAATTGGGAATTGTTGTAGGGGTGTATGGCCTGTCTTCAGGAGAGGGGTTGTTGCTAACAGAGTGGGCGTGCAGGAATGTTCTGGACTGACGGCTCATCAACTTTCTCTACCATGGGTCACGGCTTTGATACTAGGTTAAGTCAGAGAGCTGTTCTTTGATGTGTTTTTATTTGAATCTAACAGTCATATTCATCACCCAGTAGTAAGTGTTGCTAATAACATTTTGGTGTATTTTCTTTCTGCTCTTCTGTATGTATTTTTTATAAAATAGGAGTAATTTTAATTAGTAAAAGTATTCTTGGCATTATTGGAGAAGAGCAAGTTGTCTTTTGTACAGATACTTGTTAAAAATAAAAAGAGGGTGAAGTGTTGGAAAACAAGATTAGAAATGGCTCTGGTTTCTGCTGGGATTTTCCATAGATACACTGTGGTGATGCAAGGATCCTTGATAAATATTGCTGTTGACATGATTTGCAAGTCTTACCATGATTTGGAACATTTAAATGTGTTTGTGTGTGTGCATGTGAACCCACTTGCAAGCACATGATATAAGCACTTGGCATTGGCTTGTGGTTACCCACGAGGCAGTATATAACATAATGCACTCACATTTCCTAAACAGATGTGTTTTCTTTCAAGGTATTTTGATCACAACTATAGCCTCCAAGGGAGAATTGCAGAATTGGCCTGACCTCTTACCAAAACTCTGCAGCCTGTTGGATTCTGAAGATTACAACACTTGTGAGGTGAGGATTTTTGCTTCATATATAACTTTTCTTGTCATGTTGTGTATTAGTAATATTGAGGGGAAAAAAATTCCTCTGAAACAAACAAAAAACACCAAAACCTAGAGACCTAAAGTTACCTTTTTGTTTTAAGTCAGTGATCATTTACCTTACTGTTTTCTATAAAGACCATTAAGTTATGAAACCTCCTTACTATACTTCCTACAGAGAAACAGCTCCTGTTTTTGTATTTTAGAGCTATTCTTGGGTGTGTATGTGTATCATCAGCAAAGCTGTTGTCAAGCTTAATCAGTTGTAGTATTTTTCGAAGATGGGCTTAATTAAATTTCCTGAATTCCCAGACCATGGGTACATTTTCAGTGTCTCTAAGTTGTTGTGCTGCCTCTTGCATGATACGTCTGAGGTATATCTAGTATTGTTTTAATTATAAATTATAATCTCGTTGTTTGTCACTGATCAGATCAGTAGCAACCTTTCCATTTGGGGAGACAAGAGGGAGTCTGTATGGATTTGTTTTCCTGTAATTTCTCATCTGATGAGGACCTTAACCATCTCTTTCATTAGCAGGTGGAGACCTGCTAATGTTTTAAATGGAAATCATTTAAGATGTTTTGCCTCTCAAGGCAGTGACTTAATCTTCTCAAAAAAGAGCAAGGCTTGGAGGCAGGGCGGGTATAAAAATAACCTAATGTAAAGGAATCAGGTGGTCTGTTTGACTTATGTTTATTGCCAAATTACTGGGGGAAGAGAAGACTAGGGAGAGGGGAAGCTAGCAAAAAGGAGTCTTGAAAAGTCACTCTTTTCCCTCCTTAAAAGGAAAAAAGCTTGCATTCTCATATATATGTTTTCTAGTAATGCCTTGGAAATAGACTAAGATTATAGGAAAACTAAAATAAAAATAATACTTAGCTGTAGGGTAACAGTTGATGAAAATTTAAATAGTGCTTTGGTACAAAGACAACAACATAAAAGACCAAAATCTTAAGCACTTTCCAAGAATAAAACGTTTAAACTGATAATCATGAAATCATGGAGCTGCTGTCATACAGTATTTAGTTAACTGTGCTGTAGAGAATAAGCACCAAGGTACTGCTGATACAGTTATAAACAGTAAACTAGGTGGTTGAGGTAACTGATAGGCTAGATGTTGTATACAGGACCTCTCCAGATAAGCCACTTGGTTGTAAAATGGTTGTAGGGAAACTGCCTGTTGAATACAATTTTTATAAGTGAATGATTTATATGTAAATAATTTTTTAAGGTTTCTTTCTGTATTTCAAAAAGAAGTGATACAGTGGTTAAATAGACCTATACATAAACGTAAGAGTTTTACATTGTTTTAACATACCAATATTTAATAAGAGAAAAATTAGTGTTGATTTAAAATTGACAAGAATACTTCAAAAGTTGTTTTTTAGTAAGATGTCATTACTTACAATCCCTGCCAACCAAAATTCTAATTCTGAGTCATTTAATGCTAAAATTAAAATGTGCCATTATGTTTAAATTAAGGTTTTAAATCAGTGGTATAATTTTTCTTAAAATTGATGATTAAATATATGGATTTCGTGATTCAAATTTTATGTGGGCTGAAAACATTAATCCGTACAAATTAGTTAATATTCCTCAATTTGCTTTTAAAATGGCTTCATTTTTAATTCTAATAATCAAAATGTCTTTTACAGGGAGCATTTGGCGCCCTTCAGAAAATTTGTGAAGATTCTGCTGAGATTTTAGATAGTGATGTTTTAGATCGTCCTCTCAACATCATGATTCCCAAATTTTTACAGTTCTTCAAGCACAGTAGTCCAAAAATAAGGTATCTATATAGCCAGTATTAAATTCATTTATAAACTCTGATACAAACCTAACCACTCCCTTATTTTGCACTACCTAGTACTTTTGTGATTGCATGTGTGCTCAGTCGCTAAGTCATGTCCACCTCTTTGCGACCCCAAGGACTGTAGCCCACCAGGCTCCTCTATCCATGGGATTCTCCAGGCAAGAATACTGGAGTGGGTTGCCATGCCCTCCTCAGGGGCTCTTCCCAACCCAGAGATGGAATGGGATCGAACCTACGTCTCCTGCGTTGCAGGTGGATTCTTTACCACTGAGCCAACTGGGAAGCCCTCTCAAAAGGAATGCATACCCATTGTTTTTAAATCTAAAGTAGTTCTCATTGTGTTCCCCACCCAGCCTCCTACTCTTGAGAAGTGAACAAGTCCTTTTAGACACTTTTACACTTTCTTAAAAGTTATTGCTCCACAACCTGCATTTTTCACTTGACACAGAGAGAATGTGAAGGATATGTTAATACATAAAGAATTTTGACTCGGTCTTCTTAATGGTGTGTGTGTGTGTGTATGGCTATACATACACCATAATATTTTTATGGAGGAATAATTAAATTCTTGCCTGTCTCCTGTAAATAGAAAAAAGCTTCAATGAACATATTTTAAATTTTGTTTCTAGGTCTCATGCTGTTGCATGTGTCAATCAGTTTATCATCAGTAGAACTCAAGCTCTGATGTTGCACATTGACTCCTTTATTGAGGTAAGATTTTCCACCCCACCTTAGTTTTGAGAAGGCTGGAAAATGTTAATTGCGTATAGTTTTATTTTATGAATGTAATAGCTTGTAATTATGAATTGGCAATATTTAAATTGCTTGTGATAGTATTAAAATTGGATACAGTATAAACTTTATAATTCTTGTTAATTGGGGAAAAAAACTTCTTTTCATACTGAGTTTTTTTTTTTCATACTGAGTTTTTTATTTGTATAAACACTGTGATATATGTTTGTTTGATACCTTGATTATAAAAATTTCTGCTTCAGTGTACTGTTCAAATTGCATATGGAAATTAAGCCTCCATGCTCATTTGTGATAGGAACATGAAGAGGTTGAGTAAATTTGATAAAGAATCTGAAGGTTTAGACTGAAAGGATAGCACTTCTATTTTTTCCATTGGTTTTCAGTGTAAAATGAGAGGTTTGGAAGAAAAATTGATGCATCTTTAGTGAGCATTTCTGAAGTTACTTTTTAATAAAAGCGGAAAGACGACAGATGTAGTTTTTTTTTGGCCATTCAACTCTAAGCAGTGGAGTTTCTTTTCGGGACTTCTGCTTGGTAACAGCGATTTTGAAAGGGTTATTAAAGTTCCTTAAGTATTTCACTTTTATTTTCATCAAATTTAGTCTATTCCTTTTCAGCTGTTCTTTAAAAAAAAAAAAGATCCTCCAGAGACCATACTGCTGGTATTCCTGTCGGGAAATTACCAGAAAGCGCTGAGGGAAAATTGTCTTTTTTTCCTTATCACTTAAATTGACAAACTTCTTTCTTAAACAACTGAGCGACTGAATTGAACCGAACCAGTCAACTACAAGTAGCAGCCATTAGAGCCCTCAAGCCATTTGAAAACAAAACCATGCATCTTAATGCATTGTGCTGAGTACCTGCTGTGCCCAGTGCTAACAGTACATAAATCTCATGCTTCAGGGTGCTTTGTGCTGAGTACCTGCCGTGCCCAGTGCTAACAGTACATAAATCTCATGCTTCAGGGTGCTTTGTGCTGAGTACCTGCCGTGCCCAGTGCTAACAGTACATAAATCTCATGCTTCAGGGTGCTTTGTGCTGAGTACCCACTGTGCCCGGTGCTAACAGTACATAAATCTCATGCTTCAGGGTGCTTTGTGCTGAGTACCTGCTGTGCCTGGTGCTAACAGTACATAAATCTCATGCTTCAGGGTGCTCAGTCTAGTTTGGGGTAGAGGGTAGTGGACTGCTTCCAATGCAGGTGGGATTAGAAGTCTGGAGAGGAAGACTGCCTGTGTTCAGATCCCAGCTCCACAGCTTAGCAGCTGTTAACCTTGGGCACCTCATTTAACTGGTATTTTCAGTTTTTAATCATTTAACTGGTATTTTCAGTTTTTAATAAAGCTAATAATAGACCCTACTTTGTTGGATTGTTATAAAGGTATTTACTAAAAATGGAACAGTGCCTGATGGAAAGTAAGCACTCCACATGCTAGCTACTGCTGTTATTTTTAGAAGCAGTAGTAGTTTTTGTTGTAATTACAATAGTATTTCCACTCAGTAGTGTTCTTTCATAGCTTATTAAAGAGAACAATGATGGATACACCAGCATCTTATTCAGAGATGTAATTTAGAATAAAATTTTCTGAAGATAAAAACTCCACAGGACCATACTTAGCAAGTGGAACAAGAACATTTCCTGACATTTAAAATTATTTTCCATTAGTGTTAAATACCATATTAACACTTCTTTGCTGCTTGATAATACAATAAAGTTCACCCAGTTCTTCATCCTTTTCTTCAGTTACCAGTGGTTTTATCAGGGGTTGAAGTCATGCCTGCTGAGTCTGATGGTACTGATGAAAAGTGCTGTTGTTCAGTCGCCAACTTGTGCCCAACTCTTTGTGATTCCATGGACTGTAGCACACCAGGTTTTTCTGTCCTTCACTGTCTCCTGGAGTTTGCTCAGACTCATGTTCATTGAGTCAGTGATGCCATTCAACCGTCTCAATTCTGTGTCACCCCTGCTTCTCATGCCCTCAGTCTTTCCCAGCATCAGGGTTTTTCCAGTGAGTTTTTTCACATCAGGTAGCCAAAGTATTGGAGCTTCTGCATTAGTCCTTCCAGTGAATACGCAGGGTTGATTGATGAAAACTGTATTGGTCACTAATACATGGCTAGAACATACCTTGATAAAGCTGGGTATTCATGTGTAAGACAGCATCAAATTTAATGAAAGATTGCATATAAGCAGCACCTGCTGAAAAAACAGTACTATTTCCGACTATATAAAATTAAAAGTGCAACTACAGAGTTTTGAAAGCCTCAGAAATAGAGGCAGGATTTGGAGAAATTAAAGTTCTCACAATGCAACATACTGTCACATTTGATATTTAAATTATTCTATTGTCTTACCCTTTCTTTGTAATAAGATTTCAGATTCATCTATTTGGAGATGTTTCTGTGGTCCTGGGAAGAGACAGTGGGACACATTGGATTTTACTTAATTATTTTAGCTCTTCTTTTGCTGCTTTCAATTTGTGTGTGTGTGTTTGTGTGTAAATAAAGTAAAACCTCAGGAGTGAGATAGGGAAGGCTTACTGTTTTTTCTTCTCTAATCTCCACTTGAACCTCTTCAAGAGACAACTTCTAGTGAAGGCTTGTTAGTGAATTGAGTGTGGACTTACCCATAATTTTGTGAAAACCAAATTCAGGTCCCCCACTTGCTTGCAAGTTACATGATGTCTAACCTGCATTTCTCTCTCAATCTGTAAAATTGAATAACAACATCTTGGGGTTGTTGCTGAATGGAGAACCATTCAGGTTTTTTTTTCTTTTTTTCACTTTTAGAGAAGCTTGTTGAGAACAGCATCAGATTGATTCCTTCCTTTATTATTTTTTAATAGTTTGACTTAGTGAAAAACAGTTTAGGGTTAGGTTGTTAGAAACTCTCAGTATATATGTCCCAATTGTTGATGATTTTACAGAACATGCGCCTGTTAAGAATCAGTGTTGGTAGGAATACTCTCTTGACAGTAATTTTGAAGGGTAAATCAGATGCTATTTTAATAATTATCTTTACTTCTGGGTGAGCTGGATGGATGAATGCTCCTCTGTCCTAATGACATGGTTTTATTCTCGCAAACTAAAAATTACTTCAGAACACAGCCACTCATATGCTTGTTTGAAAGAATGGCTATAGATCATTTACTGAAATCATAATTTTTGGCAGTTAGCTTCCTGTGTTTGTCTTTATAATCTAATACTGTGGGCCAATTAATTCATAAGCCTTTATTTGTGCTATATCTTAGAATTTCTTTAAATATTACCACCTTGCAGGTAATATTATTATGTATAAACCTTTCTAGTATATTGGAATATTTAATTAGAAAAAAATTTTTCTTGTGCAATAGAATCTCTTCGCCTTGGCTGGTGATGAAGAACCAGAGGTACGGAAAAATGTATGCCGGGCACTTGTAATGTTGCTTGAAGTTCGGATGGATCGCCTGCTTCCTCACATGCATAATATAGTTGAGGTAATACAAGCAATTTAAAAACTTTCTCCTCCTCTTCCCCTCAAGGAAGCTCTTGGACACAAAACATATAGTGTGAAATCACTGTTCTCTTATTTGTCACATTGTGGGGGGGGCGGCTATAAAAATTTGTTATGATTGCCTCAAAATTATAAATTATCATTATGGTGATTTTTCTTTCATGAGATTTAAGATGTTATAGAGAGGAAAGTAATTTACAGGAGTAGATAGCTTTTAACTGTGGTGTAACCAGGAAATATTTAGATTATTTGTATTTACTAGATACAACTTAGGCCAATAAAATTGTATTAGATAAAAGTTTCTTTTCTACACGTTACTGGTAAGTTAATCTGATCAACTTTTGATTTATGGTAACAGTGCGATTTCTAAGTTGAAAATACATAACCTTTATAGTGAGTTCTAGTAGAAGCATTTAGATTTTAAAAGGTTCTCTTTCAGTTTTTATGTGATTAAAATAATTTTATTAGGATATTGTAAGTGCATTGATCACTGATCAGCCATAATTAAAGTAAGGAATACATAATAATGACTTACTATCAGGACAGTGTAATTCATTGGGCAATACTCATTATTGCTAGAAGAGTCATGCCTAATTTTCATGTTACTGAACATAGTTGAACTTGAAGGATGGCATCTTTAAGACCTGTTAGAGGAAGGATAGCATTCATGATGTTCAGCAATTCCTTTTCTAAAACATTAGGGAAAACAGATGTAGTGATAAGGATATGTAGCAGCAAAATGGGAATAAATGACATTTTCGCTGATAAATCTATTCTCTCTGAAGTGTTTCGAAGAATCTGGTGGCGTTGGTTGAAAATTTCATGAGTTTGGAGTTAACCAGAAAATTAAGAAAAATGTTTTATCATTTGTCATGTCACACCTGGGGAACCTAATTTGTGAGACTGCAATTCTTTCTTCAGCAATGTTCCGCATTGTAGTAGGACATGGGAGGGGGTGACCTATCACAGTGGTTGTGTTGCTATATTTTGTAATGTGAGATGTTTCATTCAGGAATGCATCACTTGACCCCCAGTTTCAGCCCCAGGTACATTGGGAATTGATGCCTTTGATTCTTTTGTTTTTGCATGTAAGGTTTTTATGGAGGGGTGGGGTTTGCCAAGCTGCACGGCTTGCAGGATCTTAGTTCCCCAACTAGGGATCAAACCCAGGGCCCCAGCAGAGAGAACACTGAGTCGTAGCCACTGGATCACCAGGGAATTTCCTGGTTTTGAGATTTTTTTTAAAGGAGGGTAGGTTTGGATAGATTTGGAGATCAGATAGATGTTCTTCCAACTAAGTGAATTTGGCTTGGTATGTTCAAAGTATATAATAAACCTATTTTGTTGGCAACTAAAAATTGTAGTTGATGTCTCTACTTTCTTTAAAAAAAACTTGTATAATATGTATATATCTTCTTAAGTATTGAAGTATTAATATATTTAGTTGGCCCTTGAACAACACAGGTTTTAACTGCATAGGTCCACTCATAGATTTTTTTTTTTTTAACTAAGTATGTACTACAGTACTACATAACCCAAGATTGGCTGAAACTGCAAGAGGAACTGCATATATGGAAGATTGGCTATATATGTGGATTTTTTTGACTGCTTGAAGGGTTGGCACCCCTACCTTTCGTTGGTTCAAGGGATAGTTGTAACTATAAGAAACAGCTTGGGTAGTTGCATTATAAAAAGATGGTCCATTTTATGAAAGGTTTAATGGAGTTTATTTTGAGAAGCAGACAGACATGAATTGGACACTTTATATTAGGCAACATTCTAAAACAGTAGTTCTTAAGTTTGGCTGCTTTTTAGAATTGATTAGGAGGCTTTTTTTTTTTCTTTAAATCCAAACCCTAAATTGAGAACTGCTGTAAAGGGTAAGGCCCATAGCAAAGGACTCTTAACTTGCTGAAACTGGATTAGGTTTAATTGTATGCTTTGAACTGATTAATACTAAGGCTCTTTTGCTTACAGTACATGCTACAGAGGACCCAAGATCAAGATGAAAATGTGGCTTTAGAAGCCTGCGAATTTTGGCTCACTTTGGCTGAGCAGCCAATTTGCAAAGATGTACTCATAAGGCATCTTCCCAAGTAAGTATTTCTTCTTACCAGTGCTGTCTTGTTAACAGTGATTCCTTGTTTTCATATTTTTAGATTGCATACTTATGCCATCAGGTAGTGAAGTTTTAAAGAAGTCGAGCTTAATTTTACTGATGGTATAAGTAAAGACATTTTTTTAAGAAACAATTCCTTTTGTTTTCTAAACTACATGAGGGTGGTTTATGCTGTTAATGATAACTTATTTTGGATAATCCATGGCAATTTTTTATAATCTTGTAATTTTGACTATGGACTCTTCCCCCCTCCAAAGGTCTTCTTACTAGTTATGCTAAGCAGTTTTTGGTTAACATATTGTTAAGTCTACTTTTAAACCAATGAATGCTGTTAAGTCAGTTTTTAATACATTTTTCCAGTATTGAGATAAATTGAATTTGATGTAAAGCTATTATTTTTAGGTATATAACAGTGATTTATGAAATACATATGAAATCAATTAAAGTCAGTTATTTTTTAAAGTAGTGCTCACGTTCTTTTGAAAATAAAATACAGGCTCATAAACTTAATTTTCTATGTGAAAAGTTAAACTCCATTGGATTTCCACCCTCTTAAGTAATCAGATGTTATTTTGGGTTTGTTGTCTTTTAATGTGTTTTTTTCTGTGTTAATACTGTATGCATGTGTGCAGGTTCAGTTGACTCAATGGACTGTAGCCCACCAGTCTCCCCTGTCCTTGGGATTTCCCAGGCAAGAATTCTGGAGTGGGTTGCCATTTCCTCCTCTAGGTCATCTTCCCAACTCAGGGATCGAATCCACATCTCCTGCATTGGCAGGTGGATCCTTTATCATTGAGCCTGAGCCACCTGGGATGCCCATTACTGTATACCAGATGTCATATATTCAGTGTTTTGGAAAGAAAGAAGTTTGATACTATGAATAAGGCATCTGTCTATAGTTACTGTTAAAAATTTTGGTTTACTGTTTTGTGGTTGGCTCTTGTCAGTTTTTATAAGTTGTGCCCTTTCATCCATGTCTTTAGTCTAAACTTTGAAGTACTGTTCCATCATGGTGATCTCTAGTGAAGTTATACCAGCTTATAATACACTAGCAGTGTCTCATCTTGTCACAACTTTTGCCATCCATTAATTACAGGTTTTCTAATCTTAGCCATCTAATATGCAAAAAAAATAACCATTTGTTTTAATATGTTGTATTAGTGGAGTCACAGTTTTTTCAGAAGTTAGTATACTCAGATGTTCTCATTTTCATGTAGTCAGTTCTTACCAAGAAAACAATTCCACCTATATTTTATTCTAGTCAATCTAGAATTTATTTGGAAGTAAAGTGTAAGGTTTGCTAAATGGATTCCCCCCACTCACCCCCCACCCCACCAAGAAATTTATTCTTCTCTAATTTGTGATGCCACTTTTATCGTATGCTTATTTTTTACTGTTGGATCATATAATTCTTATTTTTTACTGTTGGATCATATAATTCTAAGTCTTATAAAAAACAGACATTAATTCTTATAAAGCTGAAGAGATTTTATTAATGCAAACCTAAGCTTTAACATTAGGAGATGATAAGAGCAGTTATAAATTGGTGGTCTCTTTAATCAGTTATTTTTGGTTTGTGGTCTTTTAATGTGTTTTTTTCTGTGTTAATACTGTATGCGTGTGTGCATGTTCGGTCGACACAATGGACTGTAGCCCACCAGGCTCCTCTGTCCATGGGATTCTCCAGGCAAGAATACTGGAGTGGGTTGCCATGCCCTCCTCCAGGGGATCTTCCCAACCCAGGGATCAAACTGCATCTCTTGCATTGGCAGGTGGATTCTTTACCACTGAGCCACCTGGGAAGCCTGAACCTTAGCTTACTCATCTGTAAAATAGGGATCATTATACCTTTCTCACTAGGTTACAAAGAAGTTGCTTTATTAATAAGCCCACAGCTGGTACTTATATGAGTATGAATTTCTTTTGCCTATTCATTCTTTTCCCATGCCTCACAGAACAATTAAAGATAGAATTTGGAAGCAACAGGCTGTGGACATTGTTAGGTGTTTCCAGAGTATTCTCCTACCTTTTGTCCTCATTAGATTCATTTTAGTATGTATGGTTGAACAGTGAGAAAACAAAGTTTAAGAATGTCGAAGGCAAAAACTATCGTAGCTGCAAGAGGAACTGAAGTCAGTGTTTTGACCTCTACCTGACGTGCTTTGGTACATATTTTTTTAACTAGTCATAAATATTTCAGTATACCTGAAATTCCATGTTTACAGACATCATCATTCTCTTTTGGTGACTACATAATATTTAAGATTGAATATAATATCCTGACTTAACTATTTTCTTATTGAAAATTTCTTAAGAAATGAAAATTAAAATTTCTAAACTTTTATCAGACTGTGCTAACCTAGAGCTCTTTCTTCCTTTTTGCATTATTTCTTTTGAATAAAATCCTTCAAATTTTCTGTTTTTATATTTTAAACACTATCATCTCTTTTATTAAAAGGAATAGAAATACTGAATGTAGGCTCATTGTAAAGATATCAGCCATTTAGAAATAAAGTAGAAGATGGATATTGTCCCTTTTTAGCCTACTCACTCACCTCTGAAGATACTGGTTTATTGTATAGCTTTCCTAGTTAGCCTGTGTATATAAGTAAGTATATAGGTAATCTTATTTTTAAAATAATTTTTTATTGGAGGTTAGTTGATTTACAATGTTCTTTTAGCTTCAGATGTGCAGCAAAGTGAACCAGTTACACAAGCACATATATCCACTCATGTTTAGGTTCTTTTCCCATATAGGCCATTACAGAATTTTAAGTCGAGTTCCCTGTGCTCTACTTAGTCACCTATTTTATATATTGTCATACTCAGTCACATCCAACTCTTGTGACCCCGTGGACTGTAGTCCACCAGGCTCCTCTGTCCGTGGGATTTCCCAGGCAAGAATACTAGAGTAGGTTGCCATTTCCTTCTCCAGGGGATCTTTCTGGCCTAGGGATCAAACCTACATCTCTTGTATCTCCTGAATTAGCAGGTGGATTCTTTACCACTGTGCCACATGGGAAACCCATTTTATATAAAACTGTTAGTCAATCCCGATCTCCCAATTTATCCCGCCCAACACTGCGCCACCCACCCCCCCCCCCCCCCCCCCGGCCTGTGACCATAAGCTTGTTTTCTGCATCTGTGACTTTATTTCTGTTTTTAAGTTCATTTGTACCATTTTTTTTTCTTTCCACATATAAGTGATATGATATTTGTCTTTCTGTCTCTCTGACTTGACTTCACTCAGTATGACGATCTCTAGGTCTGTCCATGTTGCTGCAATTGGCATTATTTTTGTTCTTTTTACGGTGAGCTTCTTTTCATGTGCTTTTTCTTTTTTGCTGTCTGTATGTCTTTGGAGAAATGTCTGTTTAGATCTTGCACTTTTTGATTGGGTTGTTTGTGTCCTTTTTTCTTTTTTTGAGCTGCATGAGCTATTTGTGTGTTCTAGAGATTAATTCCTTGTTGTGTGCTTTGTTTGCAACTATTTTCTTCCATTCTGAGGATTGTCTTTTCATTTTATTTATGGTTTCCTTTGCTGTACAGAAGCGTTTTAAAGTTTAATTAGGTCCCATTGTTTGTTTTTGTTATGTTGATTAGGAGGTGGATCAAAAAAGATCACGCTGGAATTTATGTCAGAGTATTCTACCTATGCTTTCCTCTATAAGTTTTATGGTGTCTGGTCTTAAATTTAGGTCTTTAATCCATTTATTTTTGTGTATGGTGTTAGGGAGTGTTTAATTCCGTTCTTTTACATGTATAGCAGTCCACTTTTCCTGGCACCACTTATTGAAGACACTTTTCTCCATTGTATATTCTTATCTTCTTTGTCATGGATTAGGTGACCATAGATACATGGGTTTATCTCTGAACTTACTATCCTGTCTGACTGAAACATATTTCTGTTTATATGCCAGTACCATACTGTTTTGATTACTGTAGTATTGTAGTATAGTCTGAAGTCAGGGAGCCTGATTCCTCCAACTTTGTTTTCTTTCTCAAGATTGCTCTGGTCTTTTGCATTTTAAGACAAATTGTGAGATTATTTGTTCTAGTTCTGTGGAAAATACTGTAATTTGATAGGGATTGCAGTGAATCTGTAGATAGCTTTAGGTGGTATAGTCATTTTGACTATAGTGATTCTTCTAATCAAAGAACATGGGATAACTCTCCATCTGTGTCATTTTTTTTATTTCTTTCATCAGTATCTTACAGTTTTCTGAATACTGGTCTTTTGCATCCTTGAGTAGGTTTTTTCTTAGGTATTATTCTTTTTGATGTAATGGTAAATGGGATTATTTCCTTAATTTCTCTTTCTGATCTTTTGTTGTTAGTATATAGGCATGCATTCTTTATTTCTTTTTCTTATCTGATTGCTGTGGTTAGGAATCTCATTGTTTTTAATACAAATGGATGTGAGCTTTTTATGTGTTTTGCACCTGTAGTTTTTTTGTTTTCCCAGTTTCACTGTCATTTGTTTCTTTGTTTATGACTGTGTGCATCCAAAAATAAGATCCTTACAGGATCTTAGTTCCCCAACCAGGAGAACTACAGTGAAAGCCCCTACAGTGAAAGCACAGAGTTCTAATCACTGGACTTTGGGGAAATTCCCATTTGTAATTTATTTTTAACAAGGCCCTTAGTGATGAACATTTAGATTGTTTCCATTGTTCTTAATCTTGCATCACAGAACATCAGTCTTTAAGAATTGAGAATGTTCGTTCATGTATTTAGGATAAATTCTTAGGGGAGAAATTGCCAAAAAAATGAAATTATTGTTTTTATTTTTAAGCACTCTTGACAAGCTATCTTGTCCACTCTGAAATTCCACCCAGTAGATTCTAGGCATGAGTATGTAAAAGGCCTAAGATACATATTGGGAGTTCTCATCATTGGAGAAGGGCAAACATAGAATAGCTGTAAGGCAGTTGGTGCTATTATTAGTATTCATGAGGTTGTTGAGACTTTGACATCTTTAGATCTTTGTTTCATGAATTTCTGTCTTTATAGGTTGATCCCTGTGTTAGTGAATGGCATGAAGTATTCAGATATAGATATTATCCTACTTAAGGTAAGGAAACTATCCCCTGATGAATAAGGATGTTTATTTTCATTGACTTACAGATCTTTGAATTTGACTAATAGGACATTTATTTAGAGTAGGCTCTATTTAAATAAGCTTTCTGTTATATAATATGCTATAGAGTTCAAAGATCGAAGCAAACACAATGAATTTGACTGGCATAGATTCTAGCTTAATTGAAACTAACTAGATGGTGACACTAGGTGAGTTAGCATGAATTTCCTGTTATTTCTGAGTGTTTGGGGTTCATTTTAAAATAATCTTAAATATGTTCTGAATTTGATTCAGATACTCTAGATTATACCAGATGTTGGGAAACCATCTTATGTGGTTCAAAGTCCCTGATAATCTAGCATGGGTTTTGTGATCGCCTGTTCTCCCCTTCACAAAGAGCTGTTTTCTACGCAGGGACAAGCAGAAGATGTATACAGCTGACCCTTGAACAATGGGATATTAGGGGCACTCACCTCCAGTGCAATCAGAAATCCCTGTATAACTTCACAGTTGGCCCCTCATGTCCATGGTTCCATATCTGCAAATTCAACCAACCCCAGATTGTGTAGTGGTCTGATACTTCATTTACTGGAGAGAAATGTGCATCCTGTTTGAACTGGACATGCAGTTCATGCCCATACTGTTCAAGCATCAACCATATTTCAGAATCATACGTCATGCTGTCTGTGAATATTCTCATTCTTTTACCCATATACATACTATTAGCTTATAATGAATATAACCAGAATTTTCCTTTTAAAAAATACACAGGGTGATGTTGAAGAAGATGAAACAATTCCTGACAGTGAACAAGATATAAGGCCACGGTTTCATCGATCAAGGACAGTGGCTCAGCAGCATGATGAAGATGGAATTGAAGAGGAGGAGGAGGATGATGATGAAATTGATGATGATGACACAATTTCTGACTGGAATCTAAGTAAGTCATAGAGAAGCACAGTCGCCTGCTTGAATAACAGTTTAATTGAGAAATAACTCACATCCTACAATGCCTTCATACGTACTTCACTTAGCCATACAAAAGAATGCAATTTAGTGGTTTTCAGTGTATTCACAGAGTTGTGCAACCATCACCTCAGTAAATTTTGAAACATTTTTGTCACCCTAAGAGAAACTACATACTTAGTAGTTTCTCCTGTTTTCTGAACTCTTCTGGACATTTTCTGTAAGTGGAATTATACAAAAAGTGGTTCTTTGTGACTGATATATCTGTTCATCAGCAGATGGACGTTTTATTTCTCCTCTTTGGCTGTTGTGAGTAGTGATGCTATGAACAGTTGTACAAAGTTTGATATGTGGTCCTAAGTTTTTGGTTCTCTTGGGTATATACCCAGGAATAGGATTACTGGATCACATAGAGGCTTTTATGTTCAATATTTGAGGCACTACCAGGCTGTTTTTCACACTTACTCTGCCGGCTGCTTTCCCCCTAGCAGTGTCTTAGGGCTGCAGGTTCTCCACATGTTTGCCAGTGCTTTGGGGGTGTCTTCTTCTGAATGTGAAGTGATGATCTTGTGGGTTTGTTTCGTCTCTTCCTGATGGGTCTGTTCTTCATTTGCTTGTCATCATATTCCTTAAAAAGACTTTAATCTCACAGTGTCGCTTCTCAAAGGGGTGTAGGTTTTGTTGGATACCAAATATGTAGGAAATGTGTTTTGTTGGATGCAAAATGTATGTTTGATACAAAATACATATGGAATAGGAACGTTGGCCATGGCTTTTCCTGTTTTCGTAACTTTTTTATGTCATAATTTGCATGAGGATTATCATGCATATTTCTAAGATAATGTAAATCCCTTTCTCATCCAAACTTCCAAATATGCTTTTTTAAATTTCTGTTTTCAACATTAGCTACAAATCCACATCACCTGTTCAGCCTGTGTTGTGGGCCACTCACTAATTAGATAACTCTGGGGAGAACCTAGACACCTGTGTTTCAATTTTGCTTGGGTGCTGGTTTTTAAATCTTTACTTCTATAGTTCACAGCACATTGGATGTTTTGGGCCACTAATTCTTTGTTGTGGGCTTGTCCTGCCCATTACAGGATTTTGAACAGCATCCCTGATCTCTCTCCAGTAGATGGCAGTAGCGCAGGAGATTAGAGGGAGAACACAGATAAGATTGCAACAAGCAGCAGTGTCTTGAGATATTGCCAGGTGGTCACTGGGACACAAAATCACCACCAGTTAAGAACCACTCTGTGATTCAAGATTTCTAATAACTGATGGTATGGTTAAGGACGTGAATGATCGTCCTGAACTGTGTCATTCATTGGAAACAATGCTGATTATTCCCATTTAGTTCCCTATAACAGTTCCTTAGAGTGACCAATGTGCCCAGCCCTAGACCAAGGGCTTTGTATGCATATCACGTTTAATCTTTTCAACAGCCTTAGGTAGCTAAAGATACTGCAAAAAGAGAAACTTGCCCAAGGTTAGCATAGCTAGTACTGGTGGCACATGTAGTTCTGGAACCCATATGTTATAGAACAAGAAAACCCAACGTCTTCATTACTATCACAAATTACTTCCCATTGTATGCCAACTGTAAGGTTAGGGGGAGGATGAATTAAGATTTAATGTAGATAACTGCAAAAGTAATTATGTTGCATTGAGGAGGGAGGGGGGACTCTTCTTTTCACTCATCTGTATGTTTTTTCATAAACACCTACAGGCTTATCTGTATGGGCTTACCTTAGTCTGTCAGGCTTTGCTTTCTTGCACTTCATCGGTTCAGTTCAGTTGCTCAGTCGTGTCCGACTCTTTGTGACCCCATGGACTGCAGCACGCCAGGCCTCCCTGTCCATCACCAACTCCCAGAGTTGACTCAAACTCATGTCCATTGAGTCGGTGATGCAACCATCTCATCCTCTGTCGTCCCCTTCTCCCACCTTCAATCTTTCCCAGCATCAGGGTCTTTTCAAATGAGTCTGTTCTCGGCATCAGGTGGCCAGAGTATTAAGAGTGTCAGCTTCAGCATCAGTCCTTCCAATGAGTATTCAGGACTGATTTCCTTTAGGATGGACCTTGCAGTCCAAGGGACTCTCAAGAGTCTTCTCCAGCACCGTAGTTCAAAAGCATCAGTTCTTCAGCGCTCGGCTTTCTTTATAGTCCAACTCTCACATCCATACATGACTACTGGAAAAACCATAGCTTTGATTAGATGGACTTTGTCAGCAAAGTAATGTCTCTGCTTTTTAATATGCTGTCTTGGTTGGTCATAACTTTCCTTCCAAGGAGTAAGCATCTTTTAATTTCATGGTTGCAGTCACCATCTGCAGTGATTTTGGAGCCCTCAAAAATAAAGTTTGTCACTGTTTCCACTGTTTCCCCATCTATTTGCCGTGAATTGATGGGACCAGATGCCATGATCTTAGTTTTCTGAATGTTGAGTTTTAAGCCAACTTTTTCACTCTCTTCTTTCACTTTCATCAAGAGGCTGTTTAGTTCTTCGCCTTCTGCCATTAGGGTGGTGTCATCTGCATATCTGAGGTTAGATAAGTTAAATAAGCAGGGTGACAATATACAGCCTTAACATACTCCTTTCCCAATTTGGAACCAGTCTGTTGTTCCATGTCCAGTTCTAACTGTTGCTTCTTGACCTGCGTGCAGATTTCTCAAGAGGCAGGTCAGGTGGTCTGGTATTCCCATCTCTTTAAGAATTTTCTAGTTTTTCTTATACTTCATAGATAATGCATTTTTTTATAAAGTGAAGTTTTTAGCAACCCTGCATTGATCAAGTCTGTTGGTGCCATTTTTCCAATAGCATTTACTCGGTTTTGTGTCTCTGTCACATTCTGGTAATTTCTTTTTCAGACTGTTTTGTTATTATTACACTTGTTATGACAGTGTGTCATCAGTGATCTTTGGTGTTAACTGTTATAATTGTTTCGGGGCTCCATGAACTGTGCTCATGAGACAGAGGACTGCATGTATGTTGTATGTGTTCTGACTGCTCTGTCCACAAGCCATTCCCCATCCCTCCCCCTCTCCTTGGGCCTCCCTGTTCTCTGAGACACAACACTGTTAAAATCAAACCAGTTAATAACCTTCCAATGTCCTCTTGAATGTTCAAATGAAAGGAAGAGTTGCATATCTCTCACTTTAAATAAAAAGTTCAAAATGTCAAGTTTAGCAAGGAAGCAATGTTAAAACTGCAGATAATGGTTAGCATTTTTTAGCCTTAAAATGTGTATCGATTAAGGTGTGTACGTGGTTTTTTAGACATAAAACTATTGCACACTTAATATAAATGACACTGTAACTTGAGCATAACTTTTATATGTACTTGGAAATGAAAAGTTTTATTTGACTCACTTTATTGCAGTGGTCTAGAATTGAACCTGCATTATTTGAGGTATGCCTGCATCTTCTTTTTTGGAGGACAAGCTGATTTTCCAGAAGTGAAATCAGATTGTGTGTACTTTGCTGATTCTTTTCTGCACATCATACAACTCATTCTGTATTAGTACTTAAAAGATTTCATTTTGTTTCATGGCAGTGTAATATTTATATGAGTGGAACTACCATACAGTTTAACTAAGATCGTTATTGATGAGTAAAGTGTTATTTCTGACCAGTGTAGCAGCTTTATTAAAAAAAAAAAAAAATTGGTAGTCATATACAAAATAAAATATTTTCATGATTACTGATTCTTGTCATGAAGTGTTTTGTAGAAATTTTTTCTTTCCTGTGATTACCTCCTATTTAATTGAATTATTTAAAAGTTTGTAGAGATAAAAATGTGTTACATACAACATTTTATGTACATATAGATAGATTTATAGATATATAACTGAATGATAGTAGAAGTTACTATAACATTTTTGAATTAAATATTTCCTTTAGGAAAATGTTCTGCAGCCGCCCTAGATGTTCTTGCAAATGTATATCGTGATGAACTTTTGCCACATATTTTGCCCCTTTTGAAAGAATTACTTTTTCATCATGAATGGGTTGTTAAAGAATCAGGCATCTTGGTGTTAGGAGCAATTGCTGAAGGTAAGTCGAAGTCAGACTTAAACTGTAAAGTCCTCAATAGGTGTTAATGTTGACATGACTACTTTAAGGAATAGTTAAGCAGAAACTCTTCCCATACTTTGTTTACTGACTTGTGTTCCTAATAAGATAAGACTGTTGAGGTAGATAGACCATGATCCACATTAACCTTAAAAAGAATATTTGAGTCTAAAAGACATCTTAGAATGAGTTTTTACTTTTGAGCTAGTTAATTATTATTAAGCAGCCATAGACTGACTTACAGCCCCAGCCAGATATTTTGCAAATGCTTTTGTTATAATGAAGAGAACAGAATGAGAGGGTTCTGATATCAGAAACATCCCTGTTGTTAGAAAAATAACTTGCATAGTTAGGTGTAAGGAACATAAGTCAAGTGTCATCGACCCTAGAAAGAATTATTATTCTTTCCTAGCTGTAAATATCTATCTATAAGAAATTGAAGCATTTTGCATAATTTCTGTAGCAGAAGTAAAATGAGCTTTCCTATCCCTACTAAGAAGACAGGGAAGCCTGGCGTGCTGCAGTCCATGGGGCCACAGAGTCAGACATGAGGTGGTGACTGAACAACAAACCCTACTAGAAGATACTTAAGAGCAATTAGCTTTCATTTCAGTTAATTTTAAAGTTTTGAAATATTATTAAATGTCCTTATTAGAATGGAAATGATTGAATATTTTTCATGGATGCATCTACTAGCTTAGCATTCAACTGAAATAATTTTAACCAAATTTGGCCCTTCCTGAAATATTTAGGGTTTTTTCCCCTAGGTTGCATGCAAGGCATGATTCCATACCTGCCTGAACTCATTCCTCACCTTATCCAGTGCCTCTCTGATAAAAAGGCTCTTGTGCGCTCCATAACATGCTGGACTCTTAGCCGCTATGCACACTGGGTAGTCAGCCAGCCCCCAGACACGTACCTGAAGCCATTAATGACAGAACTGCTAAAACGCATCCTGGATAGCAACAAGAGAGTACAAGAAGCTGCCTGCAGGTAAGACGGGTTCATAGCAAGTTGTTCGTGGTGGGAGAAGGCAGTGTGAAGATTTCAGGGAGAGACTAACTTCCAAGACTGTGACGAAGTGTTGATATTAACTCTTAATGGGCTTTTTGTCATCCACATCTTCCAGCTGATGGCTTTGCAAATCCAAATGAGACTCTTAACTAGAGATTTGTATTTGCTATTTTCTTCAAATTTTTTTGTTTCCTCACTGGCTATAACGTTAGCATTATCTTTCATCCTCATTCCCACAGATATTTGGAGTGGTTGTGGCAAGAGTCCTATTCTTGGAGAAATACAAAAGTTTGAGCAGGATTGACTTTTTTAGTCTACAGTCAGCTCCATAACTCCTCGGGAAGTCCCGTGGTAACCACCCATCTGCCACAAGTGGTTCAACTCCAGTAACCACTTTTGTCAGTTGCATTTGGGGTTGTCTGTTCATCAGATCAGCAGTTTCACTACTACCAATATTTCAGTTTTCTGGAATAAATCTTCATCTTCTAAAAAGGCTTGCCATTTATGTTTATAGTTCTTAATTTTTCAAGTAGAATTGCTTCTACTGTTCACTTTGTTAATAAGAAAGAAATAGCTGCTGAAAGAGGAAAGTAAGTTTAAATGTAGTTAGACTCTAGCAGATTTGAAAGAGTTCTAATTCATAATGATATGAAAGAAGGTTAAACAAGGGAGCTTTGGTGGTTAATAGCACCAAATTTTTTTTCAAGGGAAGGGAAGGGTACACATTATGTTTGCTTTCTGGTAGATGTTTCATTCAGCAGGATTTTTTACTAATTGTTAGACATAATGTGCTTACACCCTCTGCCATCTTAAAATTTATAGGCTAGTAAGGTATATAATTTGTGGAAAGTGCCATGAAAGAAATATAGTTCAGTGTTAATGAACAAGACTTTAATTAACATGGCTTAAGCCTATCATTTTAGGAAATTCCTGCCTGGCTAGGACAGAAGAATATAACCTTAATTTTATAAATGAAGGGCCAGATACACCTTAAAGTCAAGAAAAATTTAGGTATAAGTTGAAGTAATTGCCCTGAGACCCTAGAGTTTGTTCCTTTCTTGTGTATTTGTCCTAACAAATAAGCTACAAGTAAACAAATTTCTGATAACAAATGCATTGTGCATTCTCGTGGATTGTGTAGGGCTTAGAGAAAAAATTTTAAACTTTACTGAAGAAAAATTGGCAAACATAATTACATATACTTTAAAGTATACAACATGTTGATTTGATACACGTAAATATGGTAGAACACTCACCAAGATTAACATGGGTAACTATTTTGTGAGAATGCTTAAGATCTAATCAGCAATTTCTAAGGACTCAATGCTGTGTTAACTGTCAGCACCATGCTGTATATTAAGTAGTTTGGAATTTATTCTTATAGTTGAAAATTTGTGGCTGCCAGCCCCTCATTGCCTCTCCCACTAAGAGAAACATTTGCCAGACCATGATACTGCTCTGTTCTGAGACGTCTCAAACACACTGTTAAAAATGTTTCTATCATTTTGTGGCACTTGGTATGCAAATGAAGGTTGAAGAGTTGGTTTGTTTGTTTTTTTAATTGAAGGATAATTGCTTTACAAAATTTTGGTGTTTTCTGTCAAACCTCAACATGAATCAGCCATACGTATACATATGTTCCCTCCCTTTTGAACCTCCCTCCCATCTCCTGCCCCATCCCATCCCTCTAGGTTCATGCAGAGCCCCTGTTTGAGTTTCAGAGCCCCTGTTTGAGTTTCCTGAGCCATATAGCAAATTCCCATTGGCTGTCTATGTTACATATGGTAATGTAAGTTTTAACAGTTTTAATTCTAGTGTCACTAGTCTGGAACATCAGTAAAATGTAAACTCCCTGAGAAAGGGGACATTGTTTTGTTCGTTGCTATGTTTCCAGCCCTCAGTCACTAAATAAGTAGTAAACACCAAATAAATTGTTGAATGAACCAACAGTTTTCGATTTTACCATTGTAGTTAAGCAGATACCCATAAGTGTAGATCTCTTTGAAATAAGTGGTAGAGAATGGGAAAGAAATGATAAAACTAAGTATCTGGTGTGGTGAGGTAGGGAGATGTGCGTGTAAATAAGTATTCTTTAAACTCTCTACTTAATTTCTTGTCTTTGTTGTGAACTGTTTCTTTTCTATAACAGTAATCTCTCTCCCTTTTTGTATTATAGTGCCTTTGCTACCCTTGAAGAGGAGGCTTGTACAGAACTTGTTCCTTACCTTGCTTATATACTTGATACCTTGGTCTTTGCATTTAGTAAATACCAGCATAAGAACTTGCTCATTCTTTATGATGCCATAGGAACTTTAGCAGACTCAGTAGGACATCACTTAAACAAACCTGTAAGTATCTTATGATGAACCATTATGAGAAAAATCAAATAGAAAGCATACTTATACTCAATAAAGTTATCATATACTTGAAAATTAAAATGTTTAGGGAGGTGCGAACACCTAGTGTTTGCTGCTTTAAGAATATAGGGCTGAAAAAGATGGCAAGTGTACTTACCTTTAAATAATACTTTATAAAAAGAAATACGTGCAGGGTGTGAAAATTACAGCAGCTTACCACATAAATATACCAACACATTTTAGAGTGACTAAAGGAAAGGGGATAAACGTTTTATACTCTGGATTTCAACTCTGTTTCTAGGAGTGTTGAGAAGAGATGGATGAATCTGATTTGTTTAAATGGGATTTAAGTAATATTAGAATTTTAATATAGCTTGAAATCCCCTGCTGAAGAATAGACTTCATGTTTATGATTACACTGTAAAATATCTTAAGAAATAGTCTGTGTTTATAGGTTATGCTTAACACTTGGTGCAGGACACTTGTTTGTGGGTTTGCTTTGCTGGTTGTTTTGGTTTTGTTTGGTAGGAGGTTTCCTAATGTCTTAGATTAGGCTACTTGGAATCTATGCTCCTGTTTACATGATGACTGTCTATTGATTTGATTGCAGGGATTCTTCTGTCTTAGAACATTTAAATGATCATGAATCTTTTTCTGCAAATGTCTTTAATAAATTTATCTGTCATTATAATTTAACTGAACAGCAAGTCATATTACATGTCACAGGTCACGGGACTAAAAAAAATTCAAAGAATAAGTCTTACAATTCTTTCTGTAAAAATTTTATACAATTACTCTAAATGGATTTTAGTTTTCATAGACTCAGCATATACTTGTTTACATATGATAGTGGAGCTTTCTGTGTTTTTCATCATTGTAATTTAGGAATATATCCAGATGTTAATGCCTCCACTGATCCAGAAATGGAACATGTTAAAGGATGAAGATAAAGATCTCTTCCCTTTACTTGAGGTATTCTACTGACCATTTGTATGTGTGTTAGTCAGTCAGCTTTATCAGACTCTGCAACCCCATGGACTATAGCCTGCCAGGCTCCTCTGTCCATGAAATTCCCCAGGCAAGGATACTAGAGTGGGTAGCCATTCCCTTCTCCCGAAGTATACTTAAGCTGGCAACATTTAGTTAACCTGTTTTTCGTTTAAAAAAAAACACACGTTCAGATCTATAATGACTATATGTAGTAAGTGTTAATTTACATTCTGAACCTTTTCTGTTAAAATGCTGAATAAACATGCAACTCCATGTAACTTGACCTGTGGTACATCTGTACTAAGTATGTATGCTCAGTCTCTTCCATCATGTCCAGCTCTGCAACCGCATGCAGGGTAGCCCACCAGGTACCTCTTTACTGTATGGGCTTTTCCTGGCAAGAATACTGAAGTGGGTTGCCATGTCCTCCTCCAGGGAATCTTCCTGACCCAGGGATTGGACTTTGTCTCTGCATTGCAGGGGAATTCTTTACCGTTGAGCCACCAGTGAAGCCCAGTGACAAACTCTCGAATTTATGTTTTTCTAACCTGTTCTGCTTGATAGTAGATTATCTTGGAGATCTTTCCATATAAGTGTATATATATATATATGTCCATCTCTACTTAACTGTACTTCTTTATGTAGATACACAGCCATGTCATAATTGATATAGCCTAAATTCTTTTATCTTGTTTATGCATATATATATATACTCATATACATGTGAAGTAGCATTGATACCTTTTCTATATAGTTTGAAGTTTTGTTTTTCATGTATTTAACTACTATTTTTAAACACCCCCTCCCCCCAAGTTTATATGCTTTTCAAATAACTGAACACATTCTCAAATGTGGTAACTTAAATCTGGATGAATTGATTTTGGTAGAGCCAGATCAGTCATTCTAGTCTCCCCTAATATTTCAGGGCTCACCACTTCTGCCTTGAATGGTCCCTACCCAGCAAAGTAAAAACTTCTGTGGCAAAGAGCAATGGCTAATTCTGGGCCCAACAGAATAAAAAGAATAATTATAGCTAAATATGTTTACTTCCAGGCAAGGCTCAGAATGTGCCCAGTAAGATGTACCCACATTATTGACCAAGATGGGAGGATAAATAAATCTCTCATATTTGAGGGGAAAAAAATAGGAGTACATAATACTGAAATTTGTTCCTAAAAGATAATGTTCATTATAGAAACCTTAACTCTTTTTTTTTTTTTTTTGAGGAAACCTCCCTTGACTAGCTAGTAAACTTAGCAGCAACAAAACCACATCCAAAAGAAAGGTTTGAAAAGATGAAACTGCTATACTTTAGAAGAGTAGAAATGACCGGGATTTTATTGAGTATGCTGTCAAGCATTTATCATGATCTTAGTTACACCTGGAAATGTTACATACATCTCCTTTATCCTTCCTAGTGCCTGTCTTCAGTTGCCACAGCCCTGCAGTCTGGCTTCCTTCCGTACTGTGAACCTGTGTATCAGCGTTGTGTAAACCTAGTGCAGAAGACTCTTGCACAAGCCATGGTACTTAAAAAAGTTTTTTATATCTTTCCCTTCTTGGCATCAGAAACGTTTTTCTAAGGATAGGCATAATGTATACATACTTTTTCAGTAATTGGTTTAAAGTAAGTTTTCAAAAAATTGTGTGTAATTTCAGCTAAACAATGCTCAACCAGATCAATATGAGGCTCCAGATAAAGATTTTATGATAGTGGCCCTTGATTTACTCAGTGGCCTGGCTGAAGGACTTGGAGGCAACATTGAACAACTGGTAGCGCGAAGTAACATTCTAACACTAATGTATCAGTGCATGCAGGTGAGATTTGCTGAATTAAAAGGAATAGAAACTTTTGGTTCTCTGTGTCAAATTGGGATTAATTTTTGCTTCTTTCTTGCAGGATAAAATGCCAGAGGTTCGACAGAGTTCCTTCGCCCTACTAGGTGACCTGACAAAAGCTTGCTTTCAGCATGTTAAACCTTGTATAGGTATGAATATTTTCTATTGCTGTAATGTGGTTTTTAACATTATTTTTCATCAGCTGTGTTTTATTATTAAACTGAAGTCTAATGAAATGCTGACATGTACTAATGTACATTTTACCGGTTAAATCTACTCTGATTGAAGCAAGTGGTTTGGAAGCCCCTATTCTCTTGTTCCTTTGAATTCACCATCATTTCAGCAGCTTGTTAGGTGTTGATGTGACTGAATTTGCTTTAGAGTAAGGGACATGCCCACCTGTGAACCTTGGTCCTGTATGCTAGTTCATAGATACTTCTTGAATAGCCTCTTTGTTTGGTAGAGGTACCCAGAAATAATAATATAATCAAGTTTTCTCATGATAAACCAGCATAAACTATAGGAAATTTCTGTTTTCTTAAAAGTGAATGAATTTTTTTTTTCTGTTTTAGTGGCATAGTGTTTGTCTTAGCCTTTTGTGAAGGTAATAAGCGATTGCTTGAATAATGTAACCTGAATTGCTGTCAGACCCATAGATTAAATCAAGTTTTGGTTAATTTTCATTTCTATATCCCATCATTTAATCTTGGTTTAAAATATTCATGTTAATTTTTTTTCATTTGATACAGTGTGCTTTGGGAGGCCCCTCTCCAGTTTTTTTTTTTTTTTTTAAGATGTAATTGACATGTATCAAGACTTTTTGTGTGGGGGATGAGAACTTTTAAGATCTACTGTCTTAGCAACTTTCAAATAAACAATACAGTATTGTTAACTGTGAACTTCCCAGGTGGCTCAGTGATAAAAGAATTCACTTGCCAATACAGAGAATGTAGGTAGGTTCTATCCCTAGGTTGGGAAGATCCCCTGGAGAAGGAAATGGCAACCCACTCCAGTATTCTTTCCAGGAAAATCTCATAGACAGAGGAGCCTGGTGGCCCTACAGTCCACGGGGTCACGAAGAGCTGGACATGACTGAGTGACTGAACACACACATACACACTGTTAACTGTCGTTATACTGTGATATACCACATCCCCTAGAAAGAACTTATTACAGAACTAAAAGGTTGTATCTTTTGCCCTTCACTCAGTTGCCAGTTAGGTTTCTGAACTTGAATGATAACATTAATTATGATGTGTTAAAGTAAGGCATCAAGTTTAAGCCTACTTACTCTAAGTGAAAGTGTGGTGAATTATTGTTTTATGGACAACCTTGTTCTGCAGATACTTTTCCACCTGATTGAAGTATTTGAGTTTAAATTTGTACGAAAAGATTTTTTTTTTTAAGACTTTATAGATCATATACCTCTTGAAGAGATTCACAATGTCTGATTGTTTCTCTGTTTTTCATGTTACAAACTGTGGATTATTTTCTAGGTTAGTGTTTCTCAAGAGCAATTGGCAATATCTGGAGACACTGTAACACAGGGAATGTGTTACTGGTGTCTGGTGGGTAGGGAGGAAGAATGTTTCTAAATATCCTATAATACATGAGACAGCCCCCTACAATAGAATAATCTGACCCAGATTAGCAATATTGCCGAAACTGAGAAATTGTGAAATCAACTGGTATATTAGGGATTAAAAAATTATATTCTAATTCTTCATTCAGTAGAGAGAATACATATGTAGAGATATTTCCCATATCAATAAATTATTGCCCATAGGTGGCTCAGATGGTAAAGAATCTGCCTGTAATGCAGGAATCCCAGGTTCAGTCCTCATGTGGGGAAGATCCTCTGAAGAAGGGAATGGCAACCTACTCCAGCTTTCTTGCCTGAAAAATCCTATGGACAGAGAAGCCTGGCAGGCTATAGTCCATGGGATCGCAGAGTTGAACATGAGTGAGCGGTCGACCGACTTTGACAAATCATATAGAAGAGGCAGGATTATTACTTGATTCTTTCTCTTTATTTACCAGTTTTGAAAGGAACAAATTGATTTCCAGCATCTTGCACAAGTCCTGTTTACATTTCAAGAGTTTAGTTTTTGTTTGTGTTAGTTATTTGAGTGTCAGTATGAACTCCTGACTTTCATTTTTCCTTTTAAATGGAGGATGATATTCAGAGACCACAATCTGACATTAGAGTAAACATTACCATAAAAGCCAAAATCATTGATTTAAAAAATTCTTTGTGTGTGAAAAGCCAGCTTTGAAGAAGGTTCCATTGTATCATATTTTCACTTTTAAAGTGAAATATTTAAAATTTTCTGTCTGACACCAAGAGAAATTACTCCAACCAACTCTTTTTAATGATACTTAAAGTGAAACCAAACTGGGGCTACTTCAGATGAAAGTTCAGTGGCCAGATATTTCCTCCTTCATTTTCCTAAGATAATTATTGCCAACACTTTGTTTTTTTAAAGGTTATATTTTGTCTCGGTTTCAGTTTCCATCTGGTAGATTTCTTTTAAAGCACAAAACACTGCTATTGAGAAGTTTAATACATAGTTTAAAAGCTTTTTTTTTTTCCTAGCGGATTTCATGCCAATATTGGGAACCAACCTCAATCCAGAATTCATTTCAGTCTGCAATAATGCCACATGGGCAATTGGAGAGATCTCCATTCAAATGGGTAAGATTCCCCCCTCCCATTTACAAACATTAAAATTTTTAGATAACTTAATATTTTTGTAATTGCCTGTTTCTAATGAGATTTACCTATGTAAATACATAACATATCACAGTAAAGGGGGCAACATATTTTTCCATTGATATTTTAACAATGAAATGTTTCTTTTTTTGTTTTCTCTCTCGGGGATGATCTAGGTATAGAGATGCAGCCTTACATTCCTATGGTGTTGCACCAGCTTGTAGAAATCATTAACAGACCCAACACACCAAAGACGTTGTTAGAGAATACAGGTACCATACGACTGAACTGTTAACGGTGAAGAGAACAATCTGCCTTGTCATTTTAAGTTAAGATGCGTAGAGAAACCAAAGCGGAGCTAGCTTTAGAAACCCAGCTTATTAATTTGTGCCTGTTTGGGATTCTCAGTCATGAAATGAACTGTTTGAGCTTCATTCCATAGCCAGTTTTCAGAAACTTTCCAAAACACACTTTTTCCTCTGCTACAGTGTTTTAATATTCCCTAAAATGGACCCCAGCTCAGATAACTATATGAATTTTTCATTAATTCAGAGTAACTGCTAGCTGGGGAGAATTTTTTTTTAATATGTACAAATGTAGCCCAAAATAGATTGTATTGTAATAGTTAGCCTGTTAATAATGGCATACGTATTTTGTATTTTGTTGTATACTTTTCTTCAAATTGGGAACTTGAGCAGTATCTTGTGGGATTTTTATTCAGAAGGCTTGTTTCTCTTGCATTTATAGAGAGCATGTTTATATTAAAGAGTACCTTCCATACTATAGAACACATTGTAGGGTGATTTCTTCTTGCTCTGCCTAACTTTTTGCTAATGATTTTTTGAAGTATGAATTTTGTTTTCAATCAGGCATGTCTTTTTCTTCATATACTAAGACAGTTCCAGTAGTATATTCATAGTCAATGAATGCCTTACTAAAATACTGGACAAAGATTTAAATAAGTTTTTCTAAATAAATTTATCCTCAAAGTTATTTTAATTTTATGGTTTCTTATTGTAGAAAGTTTATTATATCCTAATGTGATTATTGGTATGGAAGGAAGTCTTTTAATTATGAAACAGTTATATGGCTGTTTGGCTGTATGGGTACTGTTTGTATCTTAAAGTGAATTAGATTTTCCTGCTAAAAAGCACAAAAACCTATGTGTAGGATGGTTATGAAATCTTGTCAGGTGTTTATCTCTTTAGAATGCAGTACCTATACATGACATTCAGATTTGAAACATTTGCCATTATAAAATTACTGTTGAACATTAAGAAACTTCTTATTTATTTTTAAATGTGAATGCATAACTGCAAATAAATGTTGAGTGTAATGTATATTAAAGTTTCTTGTGGGATATCAGCTGGTGAATTTGCTATATAGTTTCTCGAACAAATTGGCTTTATTTATAAGATTATATTCTAAATATGAATCTACCCTAAGTAAATCAAGAGGTAGTCGATGCCTTTCAAGTTGATGGATTGAATTTGTATAATTAAGAAATACACTTGGAATTCACTAGATTATTCTTATTGCAAGTGACTGCAGAAAATGTTTCTCTTATTCCTTACCCAAAGGAGAGATTAATTATTAAAATTGTCTGTGGGTAATATCTGTAGATTTTAGCAACTTAATTATTAATACCATTGTCTTAATATTTCATAAAGTCAATTCCTTAGTGTTTACAGTTACTTGCTTTTTTCTAATTAGTATATCCTACACTGAACTTTTTCAATGGACCATCATCTGCTTTATCGCATGTTTCATTGGATTGTTCATACTTGCCTGTTTAATGAGAATGTTGCATAGTTTGTGTCTTTTGAACATAGGTTTTCTTTCTCTTGCTTCATATGAATCTGCTGGATTTTAGTATTATCTGTGTAGTTTGCTTCAAGTAATCCTTAAACATTTTTCTTTACTCCCTCCCCACCCTTTTTTTATGAAAGGTTAACCTGTAAGTTTTTGAGAGAACACCATTAAAGCACCTCATGGTTTGTTTTCTGTTTGTATTTTTTTTCCCATTGTGTATAAATGTATTTATATGTATGTACCTTTGAACTGCAGAATGCAGTTCTGAGTTGCCCTTGTTTTAGCTCTTTGTAAGTTTAAGAACTTAACTAAGTTTTGATGGTGAATTTATATTTGATTCCCACTTCTGATTTTTAAAAATAAAATATTAGCATGTAATCATGTGCTTTATTATCTATCATTTTGTGCTGTGCATTTCATAGCAGGGACAGAATATTTGTTCCTTTGGTCCACGTATCACATGCCGTTATAGTGGACTAAATTTTCTTTTTGTCAAATAGGGTTTGAAATTAGAATTATCATTATCACCATCAGAGGTTTTTTTGGAATGGGATTTTGACATAGCACAGCAATTTTCCAATCCATTTATTCAGTATGTACCATAACACCTAAAATTTGATAGTTGATTTTGATGTCAGGCAACAAATGGTCCACTGGTTTATTTTGGAAATGTTGGCAAACAAACAAAAAATACACCAAAATTTTGATTAAATTCCTAGATAATTGCAAAGAATAAAAATCACTTTTAAAAAGCAGTATGGAGAAGTGAGAAAGATTTTAACTTCTGAGAAGTATGTTTGAGCAGACAATTCAGAAATGTAATCATTTACATTTACTGTTACTTCTTGCGGGGAGGGCTAGATTTCATTATTAAACTCTGGAATTTTAACTGACTTTGAAAGAAGAATCTATATCTATTGAATCCGCTCATCGTTTTTATTAACAGAATATCTTTTAACACTTGATTGAGCGAGAAAAGCAGTTCATCATGGTTTTTGGTGTTCTCTCAATCTTTAAAGTTTTTTTAATTCCTTTTGTTTTTCTTTTTCCAAGAGTATGCCATATATGTTGCTGCCCCTTATTATAGGGGGTGGTAATAAACAGCACTGGTGAAATCTTATGTTTATTATCATACACAAATTCTGTTGGTTTCTGTTTCTGAGTTATTTGTTGTTTTTTCTTTATTTTTTCTCCTTCCCCCTCATTTGCTCATGTCTTGGTTGGCGTTTGGTGGTGTATAACCGTGATTGCGTTACCTTAGCAATAACAATTGGTCGTCTTGGTTACGTTTGTCCTCAAGAGGTGGCCCCCATGCTACAGCAGTTTATAAGACCCTGGTGTGTATTATTCAATCTTTTTTTTTAATTCATTTTTCTTCACTCTTTCTTTCTCTCTCTATCTCACTTTTAGATATATTTTCAGTTGGTTACAAAAATCACAATCCTTTATCATTGCCAACCATGTGACTAATCTTGTCCTATCGGGTTTGTGAGGTTTTCAGTAGCATCGTCATGTATATTTATTTTATGTTGTGGCTAACGACTAATTGATGCATGGGATAAGATTGTCACATGCTTGCTGTGTTAAAAAGCTTGATTATACATAAAAAGCATTTAAATATCCACCAGTAAAATAAAGATGCATGCAAATTCTATAAATTTTAGGTTTCTGCATTGTTTCCTTTTTAGAATTAATTTGAAAATTTGGATTGCATTAAGAAATACATGTTTAAATTTGTTATGTATAAAAATCTTATTTGCTTGTTAATGTAAAAATTAAACATCTACACCATAAGTTGTATAGTAATAGTTTCTATTGTGGCAGTATATCCTATGTTCTGCTTCTTTCAATTGACAGTCTTTCAATTCAAGCCATTTTTAGTAGTGTTTAATGGAATACAAGTCATAATACAGTTTTAAAAATTGATAATTTACTCTTGGCTCAAGCTAATTAATAGTATAAATGGAAGATTAAAATCAGTTGTTATTACTTAGATGCAATCTATTGGTAAGAATTGTGAATTTCAAGGTTTTCACTGTATTGAGATTAGATGGGCCTAACATAATATAGTATGAGAAGCTTAAGCTTTATGAAAATTCTTTGAATATAAACATTATCTCTTACTTTGGTGCTTATTCCATTAAATACTGTCCATTAGAATTGTAGTTGAACCTACTTTTTACTTAAATGCTAAACCTAATTCTATAATTTAATAGGTGCACCTCTCTGAGAAACATAAGGGACAATGAGGAAAAGGATTCAGCATTTCGTGGGATTTGTACCATGATCAGTGTGAATCCCAGTGGAGTAATCCAAGTAAGATTTTAATTTTTAATGTTCTGAATTGTTAAACTTTAAAGGAGGGGAGGTATTTTAAACTATAATTATGAAAATATTACCTATTTTTACAGAAGATACATGTGTTTTCAATGCATATTTCCTAATACCTTGTATTGATACTATCTATTTTTATTATTTCTAAATCTTTTTTTCTGTCGTGGCTTATAATAATAACAGATCGGAAGAATAAAAGTTATTATTCTTGACCTGAATTAAGCCAAAGCTTGTTTCATCCACATTTAGATCTCATTTATTTACTTTGTAAATGCTTCCTAAAGCAGTGAATGTAAATTTCCTGAGTTTGAGGCTCTCTATACTTAAGAGAATAATTAAATAGTAGGATACTCTTTCTCTTACTTAGTAAATAAAATAGAGTAATGGGTCAACCATTATAACTGCTTTAACTTTGATTTATTATCCTTATTTTGTTTCCTGTACTAGTTCAGATTATATTTAGACATCTTTAGCATTTAAAGAATTATTTGGCAACAATACCAAACGTGAATCTGATCAAACCTCTGGATGCAACTTACCCATAAAATGTAAAGGAACATGTTGATTGACACCAGATGTGTGAAATCAACAAAATACAGGCTGTGGGCTTTAGGTTAAATGCCCCACATTCCTCAGCAGATACAAATTGTAAGGAAAAGAAAGTGTAAGAAGGATTTTCAAGAAAACCTTTCACTTTTAAGAGATTGGTGATTTGAACATTTTTTACCTGGTGTGTAGAAAATAGGCATTGAACCACGTACACATAGAAGAACTAGAAAATAAAATCTTTCAGCTAATTTCACTAGCTGCAAAAGCTTTGAGTTTCTTGGTTTTTTCCCAATGCTTAAGTACTTTTGTCACTTTAAATATGTTTTAGAGGTATCTGATATGTAGTATATACCATATTAAGAAGGAGCATTTTCCTATAGGGATTTTTTGTTGTTGTTTTGCTTTTTGAATTAACGTTTAAGAACATGAAAGTAACACATGTGTAGTCATGAAATCACTACCAATTACAAATTTTGCATGATTATATACTTTAAATTTTTAACATTGGCTTTCAATATTGGGAAGACATAGGAATCATAATTTGAATAAACCATAAATTTTAGACACATGCATTTTATTTGCCTAAATATGTGTTTTATGTGTATATTTTAGTATTAGTGAATTTTGGAGTTAATGAGGTTCTCTGAATTTAATAGTAAAATTTGAAGTAGTCGACATCTCACACCATCAGCAATATTTTGTATGCTGAACTGTTTCAGTAAGATAGTTGAAATTGAAAAATACTTAAGTGAAGTATTTCAAGTATATACCTGTTATCATCTTGTTCTCTTGTCAGAATAACCTGATTGTCTTTTAAATAACAGTCTGAGCATTGGGAGTTTTCTTGTTCGTCTGAGTTGAGTTGGATTAGGTGCTATTGGTAACTGCATAATTTTTGTTCTAACTTAATGGTCATTTCATTTACATTTCTGCCTGAAGATGGATCTTGAAATTTAGGCCTATTAATTTTCATATACTTTAAATCAAATTTATTTGATTTATATTTAACTAGCTTAAAATTATTTCTCAGCCAATCAAAACTGTAAAATTACTGAATTTATAGAATTCTCTAATTCTATAAATGAAGGTTTTGAACTGGTGCTTATTTGATGCTTTCAGTGTTTGCTGATGCTCTACATTTACTAGACTGGGGTTTTGTTCTGTAATGTAAAAAGAAATACAGGAGGGCACTAAATTCTAATATAAACGGTATGAGTTATAGATTCCTTGATAAGGTGGAGTCTTAGGACAACCATTAAGAAATCACTTACAATTCCTTATAGCTGTTAAAATTTCTTTTTTTTTTTACGTAGGATTCTCTTGGTATATATTCTGAGGTTTACATATGTCTTTTGTTGTGTTCGTATTTGACAAATATAGAATCAATATAAGATGTATTTCTTGCTTGTTACAGGATTTTATATTTTTTTGTGATGCTGTTGCATCATGGATTAATCCAAAAGATGATCTGAGAGACATGTTCTGTAAGGTAACTAAAAAGTCCTTATGATGCATATCTTGTAACTGTTGCAGTCATTATGTTTTTATTTCATATGACACTGAGACTCTTTGAGTCAATATTGGTAGACTGTGTAACCTTTGTCTTGGTAAAGTTGACTTTCTTTTCTTGATATACAGTAGTGACTTTGTATCAATAGAGCACATACTTCTAAAATATTTTCTCAAGCAGTACCACTGATTCATGTAGACCCATTATCCCAACTATACTAAATAAGTAGTTTGTTGGTTGCCCGGTTGTGTCTGAACCTTTGCAACCTGTACCCTTGCCAGGCTCCTCTGTCCATGGAATTCTTCAGGAATACTGGAGTGGGTTGCCATTCTCTTCAGGGGATCTTCCCAACCCAGAGATCAAACCTCAGTCTCTTGCGTTGCAGGCAGATTCCTTAGCATCTGAGCCACCAGGGAGGCCGTGCACAATAGCGTGTATTTTCAAAAACGACTGACTAAGGTTGGAGTGTAATACGATCTGCTGAGCAAAGTCAGTCTTAGTAGTCATAACAAGGATTAAACCTGTCTGTTTCAGTAATGTCCCCTTGGGTAATTCTAGCCACCCCTCAATAGTGAACTGTATAGTTGCAGCCATGAACCCAAAGCTTTGTATATTTTCAGTTTGAAAGTATGGCATAAAAATTTTAATTCCTTGGGTGAATTGTATACCTTTATACTTGCTTCCCATTACTATTTTGGCAGAGTTGCTTATAGTACTTCTTTTACTGGGACACTGACTGAATTCTAATCTTCTCAAAGCAAAGTGTGCCTCATATCTATCCTATGAGGTGCTTTTGGGTAAGACATGGAATGATACAGATTTCAACAAACTTTGAGAATACTTTAAAATGGGTAAAATTTTGTAATAATCAATAGTGTTTGATTTCAGAAGCTATGCAGATATGTGTTTCTCTTTTGTTACTGATTACTTAATGATGATTTACTCTTTGCAGATCCTTCATGGATTTAAAAATCAAGTTGGAGATGAAAATTGGAGGCGTTTCTCTGACCAGTTCCCGCTTCCCTTAAAAGAGCGTCTTGCAGCTTTTTATGGTGTTTAATCTCATATACTTAAGCTGCAGTCCCAAAATTAGGGGTAAGTTGTAAGAAATTTGGAGTTTTTCAGGACGAAAAAATTTAAGTTAGGACTTCAATCTAGAACTACTGAATAGAATAAAAGCTGTTTGTTTTCCACAGAGGTTGAGTAAAAGAGTCTTATATTACATTTGACTTAAAATTTACTTATGTGTAGTCTGCAGATTTACTTATTTATTTATGAACCAGCAAGGCAAGATAAAATGCATGGTTCCACTTTGAATCCTCTTAGAAGGAAATCCAAGTTGGTACGCTAGTTAAATTTCAACCTGTCCTTTTCTTAATTTTTGCCCTTTAAGAGATCACCAACATTCACTGGCAGGGTAGAGATGGTTTTAGTTTTAAATATAGTCTTTTATATATCAAGAGCTTTCTGTGTTGTGAGCTTTAGGGAAAACCCAAGTAGAACTGGAGCTCAATTTGGTCTCAGTAAAAATAATTCTTCAATACTTATTCTTCATATTTTATTGAGTCCCTACCTTGTGCCGAGCACTGTTTGTTTGTTTGAGAGATTTGTTTTTGATTTGGGGTGGCAAAGAGGTAAGTCCACATGGACTCTTGTTCTTTGAGTGTTTCTGACCTAAGTCAAACTAACAATTCTGGTATTTTAGCCTTAGTTCCCTCATTAGGTTATTTTGAGGATTAAATACTGTGCTATATGTGGTGCCAGGACTTAGTATATTGCCTGCCACACTAAGTTGGCTCTTTTATAAATATTAGAAATATGGGTGATAATGTTTTAATTCAAGAAATAACAGCTCCCATTGAGATCCATTGTACAAATAGGGATAAAGAATTAGAGCCATATCACCCTACAAGCCATATTTTATCTGTTTAAAGTGCTGCGCACCTCTCTGTGCCTGGTATCACTTTCTGTATCTGATGCAAGAGACAGTTGAGAGCCATAGGAGAAGGAAGCAACGTGGCTTCACTGACTAGCATAATCTTGGGCGATTTGTCCAGTTTTTCATGTTCTTTAGAGATCGTATTGTTACTTGATTAATTTTATGTTCCACTGGTCTTATAAAAGAAACAGTTTTGTTTAAGTATAAAATTGTTTTGTTTTCTTACAGGTCCTTCAGTCTTGGAGACTGTGAGGGAGCCTCTGCACCCAGGGAAAATGTTACCCTTTACAGGGGGGAAGGGTAAACCAGTAGGGAATACAGTACAATCCCAACCCTACTGGGAGGGGCGGGAGGGAGGTGTTGCCGTCACTGTATTAAGTCGATGTTGGGAAACGTTTTAACATCTGGAGCCTTTGTGGGTGGAAATCTGTCTCCAATTACAACACTGCACTGGATGTGAAGAAGCAAAAAAAAAAAAACCTATCTACTCACAAAACAGTACATTCTGGAATATTCTGGGGAATTGTACCAAAACAAGAACCATATAAATGATGCATAGGGATAAGAAAGGAGAGAAATTCTATAGCGCACAATAAAGGAAACCTAAGAATGGGGATTAGAAACAGTAAAGGGTTTTTGTTTTTGTTTTTTTAATTTAAAAAGTTTTATAAAATTTCCCACATGATGGGACCTTGTTTTTGCATGCTGATGAAGAACTACACAAATGAAAGCTAATAGAGTTAAAATCAGCTTGCCTACCCATAGTAGAAGCAGGTTCTTGGAAGTTACAATTTAAGGTACCCCAAAAAGTTGGAAATAAAACAAAACAAATTTAAACAATGAAGCACCCTGTGAAATGCCAAATGAGTCACTCCTTTTACCTTCGTGGGGTGGGCAGGGAGGGAGAAATAAATGGGGCTGGACATATCGAACTAAAGATTGACATCTTGATTTTTCATTAAGACATTAACGTAGTGGATATAATTTGATGGTTGTACATCATTAGATTTAATTTCTAGGCCAAGATATTGTTCTTTTTAAAGTGCAGTTTAAGGTTCAGGCATGCGTTCTGGCTCATAGTGATTGAAAGTACTTTAAATTAGTGGGAAAGTAGCATGCTTGCATCACATAGAGTGAGATTGGTATTCAGTTACCTCTGTTGCGCCAGTTTGTGTTGCAGTTTACCGATTCAATATAGCCCTGCATTTAAAATTCCTTTTTAAGATTTGTGAATTTTATTTTTATTAAGAATATAGATATAAAGTACTGTAGTTTACAGCTAGGCCTTGAAATAATCTTTTTAGGATCTGTTAGGAATAAGGTTGGTATTGTATTGTGTGTAACCTGCACAATGTGGAAAGCTGATAAACCTGTGCAAAATCTTTGCCTCTGTGCTGTCAGTGTGATGTGCTTTCTGCATGGTTATATACTACTAGTGATTTTATCAAAACTTCTCTAAAACTTAAATTACATGGTAAAAGATCTGTAAGAGGCTGCATAAATGTTAGTTGGCACATAAGGACAATTGTAGAAGTTGAAGACATGATCGCTATATTTCAATGTTTATTCCCACTCAACATATTGCCTTCTAAGCTTTCTTTTTTTGTTCAAAGCATGATCTTAAAGATATGTTTAAGTTAATGGATGTAATGCAGGGTTCCTACACTGTATTGGCGCATGTTGGTGGCCCTCTGTGCCCTCGATACATGCACACGGGGTGCAAGTAAAAAGCTACAGAGTGAAAGTTGGTTTGGATCCTCTTCATTTCATTTGTTTAGCTTTTCTGTTATTTTTCTCTACTTACATGTATTCCTGTGAATAAATCCTTGTTAAGTTAACCCTTTACTTTTCCTTCCATGTGTATTTTCTTATATACTGTGAATGTGAAAACCTAACTGGTACACTTGATCTTGTGTCCATATGGAAGTGCAAGTCTTTATTAATTTGGATTGCCTGAACAGTGTATCCCATGATGATGAAGGAAAATGGAGAGATTTTTCTTTTTAACTCTGCTGGTCAGAGATGAAGCCACACCTTTCCATTTTTCAATGCTGCATATTTAATCTGCAACAGAAATGTTAAGCCATAACAACCTTTTTATATTTTAGTTTGTCACCTTTGCATTTGCAGAATAAATACTGAATAACCGTTTTTGTAAGCAGTTGCTCCTCTGCATGGTTCTATTCCTCTAAAGGTGTTGAATGATACAGCCATTGCACTGAAGTTTGAGCTGTATGCGTGTGAATTTATAAATACCGTTTCAAAAAAATTCAAATGCATGATAGCATGCAGAAAGGTTTTTGTTGTGTGTGTGTATGTATTTTTTTTAACATGTTCTTTCACCTTCTTTTCTCTACTTTGGCTTTGCAAATTTCAGTCTGTAGAGCCTGAAATTAAATCATATTTTCAGTGTCCAGTTGTTTTTAATCGTAAGTTGGATCCAAAGGGTATGTAGCATTTTGCTTTCTAGTACCAATGCCTCATTGGGAGCTCAGAATGTGCTTCCTAGTTAGTGTTTAAAACCTGATTAGGGTAGCTATTTTATCCTCAACTTCTAGTGATCTGTAGTTCTCCAAAACTTTTTAAAATGGGAGATATTTTAATATTCTGGAATAAGTAGTAAAGATTTTAAATTGAGAGAAAAGACAAAATTCTCAAGAACTCTTTTAAAACATACAAAAACAGTCTTCAATAAAGTTATCTGGACCTGTGATTGACAATTCTCTATTGACTGAAAAGCATTATTGTTACCTATTGAGTGGAAAAATTAATTTCTAATTAGATATGTAACAAGTCGTGCCCCTTTTTTGTAGTCAGTGTGTTTTTTAATTAAAAGGAAATTTAATTTAAAAATACAACATATAAATAAATAGACTGCAACCTGAGATGGGGTTGGGGTTTTGGGGTTTTTTCCCCCCCCTTGAGGTTATAGTTTCTTCCCAATTGTATTTCAGATACATAGTATAACATAGGAATTTGCAGAAGCCATTTAAGTTTAAGTTATCCTTTGAGGTAAGCTCTGATTTAGCATTTATTCTGATAAAACTTAATACATCATGGGATATATATATATATATATATAAAGCAACTTAATTCTTGTGGTGTAGTCTTAATAGTTCTGAATGTTGACTGAATGTCTATGAGATTGTGAGTTTGTCCTTGTTACATTCCAGTGTTTCGCCTCTTGGCATGCTTAAGGCACGGCTTCCTTCATCTGCTCCTTCCACACTAACGTGCTGTTAGTGTGCCCAACTACAGAAATAGCCGCTGCTAAGTGATGTAGATTTTCTACTTGAATATTTTTATGTTGTAGGAACCTCAGGAGGTCAGTGTTTACTGTTTTATATATGCCTTCTTTTTCCTGTTTGAGCTTCTCTCTTTGAAGGATTCTAACAGAACAAAAGCTGCTGATCAACCTAAGTTGGAAACAGAAAGTGTATTTAATATAGTTTAAATGCATGTTTGGCAGTTCCATGTTACAGTCCATTAGTAAGTGAACCTAGTGCCACAGATATTCATTTATTCAGGAAAGAACTTTGCTTTTTGTATTGTCTAATCTCTTTAATAACTTCATACTGTGTAAAAAAAAAATCACACTTTTTTATATTTTTTGGTTGGTTATTTTCCAAATAATCAACATGTAAATAATCTTTAAGAGCCAGTTCTGATGCTTTACATTATTGCTACTTGATTTTGTGACGCAAGTTAGATTTCAGAATAGATTTTAAAACACTTAACCAAGCCATTACATCTTAAAAACAAAATAAGTAGCATACATTTTGTAATTAACATATTGATAAACACTGTGATTTTTTGTTAAGACTTTTTCATTGATCTGAATTGCTTAAATTGCATATATTGTAAAATAGGATCAGATGTATATTTTAAAATAATCTCAACTGACTTTCCTCTATTGAAATGCTTTGTCTACTCAGTTATAAAATATTCAGATACAAGTTTTATCTCAGGTGAATACTCTTGTATCCTTCTTTCTTTGGTGACATATGCTTATAAAGGGTCATCATACTTACATTCTTTGTTTTTGTTTTTTTAATGTATTTCATGAAGAATCTTTACATTTAGTCTGATTTTCTAATTAGTCTAGCAGACCATGGTGGTAT